GACATATAGCTTTCATACCTTGTATACCCCTTGGTTTTCCAGTTATTGCGCAAGTGATTTCATAATACCTTGGTGTCTAACTGTTTCTGTTGCATGATAAAACTCGCCCTTAGTAGTGTAGAACACAATAACATTACAATAACACTCGCTTACTCAAGCTAAGACATATTAACCATCACATTTCTACTTGGTGCGCAAGTGATTTCATAATGCCGTGGTGTCTGATTCACAGAATCACGGGCGTGCCACCTAGTGTTTCTGTTGCTTTAAAAATTGCACTTAGGAGTTTAGATCACCATGGCATTACAATAACACTCGCTTACTCGAGCTAAAACATATCAGACATATTAACCATTAATTTTCTTCTGTGCGCAAGTGATTTGATAATACGGTGGTGTCTAACTCACAGAATCACGGGCGCGCCACCTAGTGTTTCTGTTGCTTTAAAAATTGCACTTAGGAGTTTAGGTCACCATGGCATTACAATAACACTCGCTTACTCAAGCTAAGACATATTAATCTTTAAATTCCCACTTGGTGCGCCAGTGATTTCATAATGCCATGGTGTCTGATTCACAGAATCACGGGCGCGCCACCTAGTGTTTCTGTTGCTTTAAAAATCGCACTTAGGAGTTTAGATCACCATGGCATTACAATAACACTCGCTTACTCGAGCTAAACATATTAACCTGTAAATTTCCACTTGGTGCGCAAGTGATTTCATAACGCCGTGGTGTCTGATTCACAGAATCACGGGCGTGCCACCTAGTGTTTCTGTTGCTATAAAAATTGCACTTAGGAGTTTAGATCACCATGGCATTACAATAACACTCGCTTACTCGAGCTAAAACATATCAGACATATTAACCATTAATTTTCTTCTGTGCGCAAGTGATTTCATAATACCGTGGTGTCTAACTCACAGAATCACGGGCGCGCCACCTAGTGTTTCTGTTGCTTTAAAAATCGCACTTAAGAGTTTAGAACACCATGGCATTACAATAACACTCGCTTACTCGAGCTAAAACATATCAGACTTATTAACCCTTAATTTTCTTCTGTGCCCAAGTGATTTCATTTTCCTTCATTGGCAATTTCTGGCGGGCGTAGTTACTAAAACATGGAACGACCTAAAACCACCTAAAACCACCTAAAACCATCTACAACCACCTACAACCACCTCAAAAAATTCAACAACCACCTACAACCATCTACAACCACCTCAAAAACATCTACAACCACTCGCAAACAATCTAAAACCATCTAACACAGGGTATAAATGTCTGAAATAGTTTCACACAAATGTATGTAGTCCCGCAGAATCCTTTAGTCTAGTGTGAACGTGTCTCACTTGTAGAGCCTGATTTTATACAGCTATTAACCCGTTTACAGTAGTTGCAAGAATTAGAAAACAATATATAATGATATTTGATAATTCTTTTCAGCAAAATGAATCAAAACGTTCTTACCAGTAACGTCCCTTGGCGGGGAGGGAAGACCCGAATATGTGATCCAAATTTTTCGTTCCGTTTTAGCTCGTAAAGTTCCAGCTACTCCAGCCTGTGCCAGGCTCTCAGATAGTATAGTGGGGACGTATTTACAACGAGCAAAGCGAAAATAAGAAGCGCGCATATCCCATCACTCCCAAGAAGAGGGCCGGGGTGAAAGTTGGGTTCCAAAACATAATAAAGGTATATAAAAATCCAGGTAAATTACTTTAAATACAATCATTCACTATTAAGCCTTCTTCTGAATTCATTGCATTATAGATTTTTTAAAATAACACTTTTAACAATGATTACACCTAGTCTACTACACCTAGTCTCCGTTTCCTGTGTTGTGACGCAAGGGAGTTTAGCCTTGCGTGATGACACAGGAAACGGGTGTGAAAGAGACTAGGGTTCATCTAAAGGAGTCACCTGGAATGTAAAAACATGTTTGGCGGATGAGATGCTAAAAAAAATAACTTGTTCTTAAGAATGTAAACCGCCACATCAGAACAAAACAGCAGTGAAGCAGACTCTGAGACCTTGTGCCATTGCGTAAACAAATGAAACGTGAACCAAAACGTCTCACTGGTACCCAGGGTAGAAAAAGCCAAATCAAATCAGTCTTTCGACTACGAGTTTGTTATTTTATTTTATTATTTTTTGTGACTTGATAGTTCTTTTTGTAAAGTTCTTTAAGTCTTTTAATATACTTAGCATGATCTCGCATTTCATTTCGTGACGTATGCCAATGGTTGATGATACAAGGGACCAGGGAGAGTAAGATTTTAGGGGGAAGTGGATGTTTTGTTCGATTCTCGTATTTCATGTTCGTGACATGTTGTCGTCTCGCCTTAATTCTGACATTTATACCTTGTTTTAGATGGTTTTAGATTGTTTGCGAGTGGTTGTAGATGTTTTTGAGGTGGTTGTAGATGGTTGTAGGTGGTTGTTGAATTTTTTGAGGTGGTTGTAGGTGGTTGTAGATGGGTTTAGGTGGTTTTAGGTGGTTTTAGGTCGTTCCATGTTTTAGTAACTACGGCTTCTCAATTTCTGTTTCACGTGAGTATCTCGTGATATGCAAACCAGCTAAGAAATGGTATCTTAAGCGCACGTACATCAGCTGACTTGTCTTGGAATGTGGATTCCAAAGCCTAGGATTACAAATTCCACAAGAAAAATTGGGATTCCGGATTCCACGAGCAAAAATCTCCCGGATTCTGAAATACGGATTTCTTACATGGCTCGAAATTCATCTTAGCCTAATCGCAGACGTAATTTAACCTAGGTTTAATTTATTTTCGTCTGTGGCGTAGGGTAGACTCATAGATGGGTCGGCTTTTGGTGCAGTTAAATTCTGTTTTTTTTTATGCTAGAGACGTTAAAGTCAACAGTAGAGACGCATTAAGCGTCTGAGAGGTTCAACTTTTCTGGTCTAACCATGTGACCTAATGAAATCCATGGCATTCATCTCAAGTCATGTCTACACTTTTCCAGATAGCTATTAGCCTGCAGTGCAGGCCTTTTTTGGGTGGGCAAAACCTTGTTCGTGTTCGTATTGTTGTAGCCGCCATCTTTCATTTTATGACAGTGACTCGCCCCATTTCCTCCTCTCTTCGGTTTCAACATGGCGCTTTCTCGAGGAAAAACATTTGCACGCCCGAAGAAAACGCCTGCACTGCAGGCTAGATAGCTATTTGCGCCGACACGAAAGCCTATCCGGTACATGAACAGCAACAGCACAGAACTTGAACAAGTCGTTCACACACATCGAACATTGTACCGAAGTGTTTGGCCGAGAGGGTTTGGTACACTAAATCCCGATTTTACTTCTGAATATTTACTTCCGTCTTAGTGGGTTCCAGTCCTCGCTCATTCACATATATTTCCTCTACAGCGACAAAGCTCGGTGTTTCGAAATGGATGTTTGTTCTCCCTCTTAGTTCATAGAGACAAGGACAATTATGACGGTTCGAAATGGATGTTTGTTCTCCCTCTTAGTTCATAGAGACAAGGACAATTATGACGGTTCGAAATGGATGTTTGTTCTCCCTCTTAGTTCATAGAGACAAGGACAATTATCCAAATGTTATGAAATTTGGCATTAATAGTTTTTGTTTCACAGTTGTGATTGACATTCTGACGTCATAAATGGCTTTCAAATTGGGCGCCAAAATTGAAAATTGAGTAACGTTTTCAAAAATTACACAGAAGTGTTCTGTGATCAAAACACCCTGGTAAAATACATTAAAAGGGACAAAGTTATAAGTGATTAAGATAGTGATAGTGAAAGAAGGAATCTGGAGAATTTAATTGTTCTATTACCTTATAAAGTCAAACTTAAGGGGGAATCAAAAGATGAATACGATGAAAAAAATTAAGTGGATAACAAACTAGAATAAATTTGTAGACCAACACTCAGAGTCTTAATATAAATGAGGAGAATGTGCTGCCTTTGTTTGACATCTACAAATGGTTAGACATTCTAGTCTTTTCGGATAACGACAAAAAATCGTAGGCCCCGTCTCACAGCTCTTTCACTGTTCTGATTCTTTGGAACGGAAAAGAACCCATACTGCTGTCCGTAAAGAGTAGGTGGCGTAGGCCCCGGTGGTGTGGTACAACCTTTCATGGGCTGGGTGGGTAATGAAGGGGTTGATATCAATTGGGACTTAAGTCCTGTTTCATCCCCTCTCTCAGGGGCAAACTCAATAAAAAGAAAAAAAAAGAGAGCTACGATCATTGCAAGTGGATTTTCCCAAACTATAGCCCTGTCCACACGGATGCGTTTTCAAAAGTTTGCGTTTTCATTGTCATCTTAAACGCATTGATCAATTCGCGTCCACACTACCGTTTTGATGCGGTTCGACCGTCCACACTAAAAGGTTCAAAAATGATAGAATTGCACTTCGTTACGTAAGCTGAACTCTATGCGAGGCTACAAACACACGAGCCTGCGATATTTTCGGTGATCGTTTTCATTTTAATGCGATTTGGACCGTCTTCGACTGTCCACGCTAGAACGATATGTATGCGTTTTCGTTTTGATACACCATCAGGCCCCGTCCGACCGAAAAAGAAATTTCATTTGAAAACGCATACATTTCGTTACGTTTTATAGGCATCCCGTCCACACTAATACGCTGAGCGTTTTCATCCAAAACGCATTGACTTCAAAACGCTGTTGAAAGTGGGTCAACACGAAAAGGCAAAAACATGGTTTTGGTGTGGACGGTCGAAAACGCATCAAAATGAAATCGATGACGTCATATGTGCCACGTTGGTTGTAAAATATCGCGGGCGCGTGTTTTGTAGGATGCTGTTCGTGACGTTTCGCAATTTATTGCTCGCCCAGGTTTCAAAGACCAGTGGATTTACATCTGTAGACCTCTATTATACATGTGTCTCAAGATGTCTAAACGCCTAATTCAACGGCGCTGGTGCAACCTACTGCTTCCTAGAAAATATGTTCGTTTTCAGAATTTGGTGGTTGTTCTTATAGGCGTTATTAGCATGTTATCGCTCGTCCTTTTGTATGAGGCAACACGGCCACACTCGAATCTTCGCACGATGTTAACTGCGAGAGCCCGCAGACATAAGTTATTTAAGAAAAACTTTGGAAATAATAGTGCTGCATGCAGGCTTCCTGACTTAGATCCATTTCACTCCAGTGTAGCACAGTTTATCAAAGATCTTGGCAGGCTAAACTGCGATGGCGTGAGTTATTCAAGCTTTGAGAACAACGTCCTTGTGGTCGAAGGAGAAGGTATCGTTTCCGCTCAGTACAGAAAGATCGCGAGAACACCTGGCGATGACTTTGCTGTTGTCTTGTCGGATCCGTTAGAGGTTCGAAATGACAGTTGGAGTCCAATGGAAAAGGATGGCAGTCAGAAAGGTAAAAAATTTGCATTCACGCCTATCCCCTATTTTCTGGGCTACTGAATGAAAGGATACTGTTGTTGCTGGTAAATAAACTAACGTTGACTAATTGAACTTAACCTATTTGTAGTTACCAGAGGTCTTCTCGCTTACCAGCGTCAAGAAGCGTGAAGAAGCTTAAGAGCTGGTTGGCGAGATACGTCTGGCTCAGGCCGTGAAGTGTTTTATAGCACGCCGCTTCGCTCCTCAGCTGGCTGGCTTGGCCGCTCCGAGACCAAAAAACCTCTGGCACCGAGGGTAAATTGAATGGAACGGTTAGCAAGAAAGTTTTAGCTTTTCTCAAGCTTTAGAAATTTCTACGCAATATTTTACTCATTCAAACAGTTATTTTACAGAAAAAAGTCGTGAGGTGCCCCTCTGTAGCTGCATTAGTCTAATTCCAGACATTTCGACAATACGAAAGCAGGGGGTCATGTTTGCGATATGATTTCGATTCTAAAACTCGTAATTTTCGTAGAAGCCTCACGTTCTCGACACCTTGAACAAATTACTAATTAATTTATAATTTATCAGAGAGATATTTAAATTTGTCAAGACTGCCAATGGTTTTCATGAGCGGTATTATGCTATTGTATTAACTCAGCGCGTCAGAAATCAGAAATGTACCATTTATACGAGCATGTCTTATCTAATAAGACGCGTCTTAGCTAAGCCGCGTCTTATTTTAGACGAAATGTGCCGTTTATACGGGAAAGTTCGCGTCTTATTTTTCCTCGTATAAATGGCCCTATTTATACCTTATTAATATTCAATATGTAAGCGAAGCTAGAGTTGCACTCGGCTATCGCCTCGTGCAACTCTTACGCATCTTTCGTGCTCTCCAAACTTCCCGCGTGCATCCATAACTCGATATACGCACGCTCAGCATGAACAAATTCTTAATTGGAGTCGCCTCACCTTTTCGGGTGCGCGTCCATCCCCACGAGGTCGAATGCTCGAGTCATGGTCCAAGAAATGTTTCTTCATCTTCTTCAAGGCTCGGCTCGTGCCACTTATTTGCTCGACTTTAACTTCGTCGACATCGCAACCTGTTTTGCAAGCTTAGCGGCAGCCGAAGATGATAGACATTCGAACTGCGAAAATTCCACCACGTCTGATGTACTAAACTCGACAGAACACCCAGGTATTTTCAGTTTTCGTTGTTGGATTTGCATTGGTGAAGGGAGCCTTATGTTTGGTCTTTTGCTGGTTGTTTTAATTCTCATTTAGTTTGTTTGGACCAGTGCTGGGAAACCCGTTTTTTTTTCCCCGAGGTCGGGGAAAATGGCCACTGAGTGAAAGGATGATATCTTTAGGGCTTATATCGGCCCATATTATCAGGGCCCGTTTACTTATACCTGGGCATAAGGAATAGAGGCGTAGAAGCACTGAGTGGGGTCTTCGATAGTCACCTTTTAAGTAACGGTGTTCACAGCCTGTCACTGGGGCATGACTGAACGATTCATTGAGTTGGGAGCAATCCGGGCGTATTTGGGATATATGCGGTAAACGTTTTTCGCCCTTTTGTCTTCTTGGGGACGCTAGAGCCAAAGAGGACAAGTTTTCAGGTTTATGTGTTGGCACGTTTCACCAGGTTTTTATATTTGTGAATTATGGTAACAGTTACTACCGCTTGTGGAAGTTTTTACGATTAGCTGTATTTTGATTCTTACAAAAGTAACAAGGGTGACTGATTCGGATGTCACTTTGTATCCGCAGCCTCACTCTTCGGTGGTAACTCAGTATTGAGTGGTAGGCTTGGTGTCTGGTTGTGATCGCTCCCATTTCGTTCAGAATAACTTCTTCATTAATGTTCACAAAACTACTGGACTGGAAGTTCCTACAAGCATTGTTTTTTCTCTTTAATGATTGCTAAATTCGGGGTTGTTTTCCCTTCGACAAGTTTTGTCGCTCTTAAACTGGGTGGAGTGTTCTCGAATACAGTTCATTATTCTGTGAGGGCAGCTTTGTACATGGTTTAAAAGGTCTCGTTAATCTACGCTCTTTTGTGAGTACTTTCGCACGAATTTTTTCTCTGCTTTCCAGACCAAATATTTAGAAATGGTCTGGGTTGTGTCAAGGCGAGGGTATTGAATTCCTAGATTAGGAGTGGTGGTGATCTTAGCGTATGCCCTGGAAAGCCACGAAGTTCGGCTCTTAGATCTCTGGGGCAAGGTGACTCGTTAGGAGCCTGTGAAAACATATTTGCACGTTACGCAGCTGTCTCCTTTTAGTGGTTGCGTCGTCGTTCGGTTCCAAACCTTCTCTGGTGAAATTTTTCTGCTAAGTTGAGCACATATAGACGAGTGCATACACGTATAATTTTAGATGCTGGATTCTTCATCTACCTCTCTGTCTGCTTTGGCAGCCGCATTACACCATCCGTGCTTTTGGCCTTCTCCTTTATTGGGCTTAGTTTGTTTCATTTTAGCGTCGAAGAGAGAGCGAGTCCGTTACAACCCATGCGGGGGCGTTTGTGGAGTGTGTTATTCGAAGATTACAGGTGGCATGTGTTATCAGCTGATGCCTGGTTTACCCTGGGATTGCATGACCTCTACGCGTTTCGCAATGAATGAGCCACGGGATAGACATATCCCTTCTTTACCTTTGTTAAACAATCAAAATAATCATGTTTGTAGTGCGCATGTCTAGATTTTGTGTTGCTATCAGTATCTGTGATTGCTTGCTCCACACTCGATGATTTTGATATTTCCTGCTGCCTGGGGTGTGGCCTTGGACGTTAGAATGGTTCCTGATGTATTTTCAAGAGACCCAAGGTTTGTTACCCGGTCGGTTCAACATTTTATCAAATGGTAAACAAAACTCAGGATCGGAATATTCCTTTCAGCAATCGTGTTTTCCTTGCATATATGTGTCCAATTTACCGAAAAACGATTGAGGGGTTCTGCAACGGTAACCAGAGGTGGGTTGAAGTCATGAACCACGAGTTTCGGTCGGAACATCCCCACCAGGGAAACAGATCTGCTTTTCGAAGATCAGTTGCCCCCGAAGATTTTCACTTTAGGGAAACGTCAGGTGTTACTAGATCTCTAAGTCGGCTATACACGGGTCGTGAGCAGTATGAGACAGCTTTTAAGCTCGCTTTTTTATTTCTAGCCTTTAATATTTGGTCTTTTTCAGTGGCGTAATAGTACACGAGAGTTAGCATTTTCGATCGTTTTGACTGTGCTTCAGAAAGAGTCATAATCTTTAATATGGATTGTGGGGGCGTTTTGTTTTGCTCAGTTGACAACCCCCTTTTCACGAAAGACTGCAGATTTTGCTGAAATCGCATCGTTTTATAGGAAGGGAGCCATATTCTCTTCCTTCGCCAAGCGATTTAAGAGCCCAAGCTGGCCTACTCAATTTTTGGAAACTGGCAGGGCAAAGTAGACGCGTTAAGATCGCTGTAACCCTCACCCAAGCCCTCATTAATCAACCATATAGATGAGAACACACAGTTACGAGAGCCATCCTTTCGGGTTTTACGGGTTTGCATTCGTGAATAGTTATTACTCGTCAACTCAGGTTCATTTCTCGTCACAGAAGATGATGGGGTAGGAGTTTGGGGTCGACTCAGACAACCGACACCGGTTGCTTTCTAAAGGGCTTACATTTGGTTGTAACATCAGATGTACCTGTAATATTACACTATTGCTAGAAAGATCCCTTGTTCCCTGGTGTCAAGCAGACTCTGCCCTCTTTGTGTGGTTATTGTAGAGCAGATCTGCATTGGGTTTGTTAGAGGTTATCCTGGCCCCTTTCAATGAAAATAGATCGCGCACAAAGTTTCCATCTACACTAGTCCCGTACGAGCCTAGGCTAACCGGGGAGCCACCCTTACGCGATTTAGAAACTACGTATATAATTTCTCCCGCAATGCTAGGACAAAGTTAACAAGGATCACATGGGTTGGTGGTCCCCGTACCATAATCCAGTGCGCCTCACTTCATTAAATTGAATCGCGCACCCTACCATGCCGAGGCCACCGACGCGTTACAATGATTGCGTAAATACTAATGCGTACAATACCGTGTAACAGGTGTAAAAGGGGGTTGACTGGCCTGCATGACTCCCCGTGCCCGGCGCGTGTTTTAGCCTTTGTAATGGTTGTTGTTATATTCAATGCTAGTTTCTCACGCGACTTTGCTTTAGGTTAGGCACTTAGTGTGACGGTGTTGTGTGACTCGCAAAAGGCAAGATTCGTAGATTTCTCTTTTATGTCGAAGGGTTAGTTTTCTGTCTCAAAATTTATTTATGAGAGGGTCGTACGTGTGAGATCCCGTGTAACCTCTTTCTAGCAGATGTGATTTGCACGACTCGAACGAGTCGTACCACTTGAAAGGGTCCCCTCACGACAACTTTGCCAACCAAGTCTTTGTGTCGCTAATGAGATGCGTGTTCTCCAATTGCACGTGCAAGTGAGATGTAGTTTCACTATATGTCGTACCTCAAGTTATCACACGGAACTATCACCCATTCACGACTAGTACCAATCGCATGAATTGAAAGGCTGATCTAACCACTTTTACCCTTCGTACTATTTATACCTTATTAATAATCAATAGACTTCGCGCATAGTATATAAGCATGTGTTAATTATTCACAGTTGTCAGTTTGACTAACTTTAGTTGGAGTCGCCCCCACCCACCCGCCCCTTCTGCTTACTTTATTAGCACCTACGTGTCTTCCCCATCGAGCTTGCTCGTCTGGGGTGACTTCCCATAACTAAATGCTAATAAGTATGCAAGAAGGATATTGAACTATTGTCTTCACTTCACCGAGACGAGGCTTCGATCCAAAGTAGTGGTTTGTTGGCTACCAAATATTGCAGATTTTTTCTTCTCCCTTGCTAGACTTATCGAGGACTTAGAAAGGCAGCTTAGTTCAGCTTCATATGACAGTTCAGAATATTTCGGCATTTTGACGAGTACAAAAGGACACTTGCAACTCTGTCGTCAAGATTTTGTGAGACTTACGGTTGTTTAGAAATAGGGAAGTTCACCCTTTCTACGTTAAATCGGACTGGAACCCACCGGTTCAACCATTAGAAGCCCTCGAGAGAGGTTAAATCACAACTGGCAGAGATACAAATAACAAAGCCAAAACACAACCTGTCATGCAAGGACCGACAAGCATTAAAAGAATTACAGCAAAACACTGGCGCGCGGCATCGACATCATCAACGGTGTTTAGACAATGGCAAAATTTGCAATAAATTCACAATGTAGTTATAAGAAAAATTTAGCCGTTAAGTCACTTTGTATTATTATTAAAGAAAAATTTAGCCATTAATTAACGGCTAAATTTTACTCTTTACTAACCAAAAATTTAGCCATTAATTAATGGCTAAATTTTACATTAACTATTTATAAGTTAAATTTTCATTATCTATTTATACAAACGAAAAATTTAGCCATTAATTAATGGCTAAATTTTCATCCTTATATTTTGCATGTTACGCAACAATGCCGATGCTCGCCGATGATCATATTTCGAGCTTGGGCTACCTGTGATAATACTGATCCGAAGCCCTTGTAATTTCGAAAAGAGTCGAGTTCCCCTAGGATGACCGAACAGATACAAATTTTATAGCGCCGCTTAGAATGCATTTCTAGAGATCTAAAAGTACTCTGGGTATACTAAATAAAAGAAAAAGAAAAGAAAAGAAAAGGAAAGAAAAAGAATCTGTACGCGAAAATAGCTTATATCAGGGGCACCCAGCGTCAATTTTCGGAAAATATCTGTTGGGAAGACGATTTGAGATCTAAATTTTTCGGAACATTTGTTGTAAAATTTCTTGCTTGCCCGCCTGTCCTAGGACTTTCGAACATTTAAAAAATGAAATAATTGCCTATTTTTAACGGATTTTTACCCTAAATAAGTCACCTAGAATTTTCGGGAGCCTTTTTTCTGGCTGAAATTTTCGAAAAGGTAAGTTTTGATCCCTATAATTTTCGGATCACTAAACTTTCAGCAAGGAAATCCTAACTGATGAAAAATTTTTAGGGAATAAAAATATGCCTATATCTACCGTTTAAATACTAAAACACGTTTAACAATGCTATGTTTAAGTGGTTTTGAACTATATTCTTGTTGGGTTCCCCTGTCATATGGGATCATGGAAACATAAAAATTTTGATCGATTCAGAAAAAAAGAATTGTAAATCAAGCAAAAAACAACTATCATGACTAAACTAAACAGATGAAATATTTTGCACTTTCCCTTACATTTTTTTCTTAATGTTGAATCGGGATGTCGTTCGGTGTCTGCCGGCCCCTGGTGTTCGTTACGAGGCTGGCGCTCGATAATAAAATCATGCTCTCGTGACCTAAAAATAGGCCGTGACAACGGGAAAACCCCAGGGGTACTTCCCTTTAGTAAAATCCAACTAGTGGTCTATTATCAATGCTGCGTTCTGACTGGCTGAGCTCCCTCTATTTTTCCCACTTCCTCCCAAACCGCCCCCGCCCCGTAAGTAGTTTTGACACTCATGCAAGAAGGCAGCCCGCAACACAAAGCGCTCGATCTCGATGATCTTGCGGAAAAATAGAGGACTTTGTCAGACAGTCTAGAGCTACTACTAGGGTATATGTTATAGCCCACTAGTAGCGAAAAGCCCCGGCTTTAACTAGATAAAGTTGTTTTGTCTCGATATTTTTTGACCAACTAGTTGGATTTTACTAAAACAATTATTCCTCTCGCCCTGGACTTTGCCCACTTTTGGTCTGGAATCGGGTATGGTTTTCGAGGGAACTACGGGACTGTATGAACGTGTCGTTTCAATTCCACATGAATAAGAAAGATAGAGAAATATGCAAATTCGAAATGGATTTTAAGAAATCTTTTTTGTTGATGTTCTAATCTAAGTAATGATGACATAATTTCTTAAAGGCCATGTTTGAAAACGGGTGTGAAAAATAACATTTTTGGTCTGAAATAGAGTCAGGATTTGGCGAACCGGGCGGCACACCCCTACCAAGAATTACCAGAAGTACCCCCCGGGGGGGGAGTTATCGCGAGATGTTTCTGAAAAAAAATTGCGTACGTGGCTGTTTTTGTTATTGAATTCTGAGCATCGATCTTTTGTACTTTATGGGAAAAAATACAGTTGAACATCAAAACGTAAATGTTTAAATAACTGTTCATAAGCCGGTTTCTCTTGGGATCAATTGCAATCTCCTGCCAGAATGCTACTTTTTGGCTGGCTCTTTTGAATTTTTTGCATGCTTTCTGATACATGATGTTGTCAATAATATGTGTTAGTGATCTGTTGCTGTGTTTACAAGATATGACGTCAAAAGAGAGACAAGTTCAATCAACTCCCTCTTCCCCAGGGGTTTCCTTAGAAAATGAGATGGATAAGCCCAGAGACCTGGGGACGGCGAGGTTGGTCAAATGATTGTTGAGCAAACACAGTATTATAGAATGATATGTGTCGAGAGAAGAAGCGCAGATAAAATCTTTGAGTTCCTGGTGGGAGTTGTCACATTGATGGGAATCATTCATGCCATTGGCCATTTTTCTTTTGTTTTTTCTTCCATCTTTAGGTCTTTTTAAGGGAAGTACATCGATAGACGCTGACTTCATCCGAGTAGACGTCTTGACCAACTCGGGAGAAAGAAAGACCGACGTACACATGCACGTGTTTCCAAAACAGGAGGTTCTCGAAAGACCACGAAAGCCTGTTGGTATTCCATTGAATGTAGCACTGGTTATGTTCGACTCGACTTCGGCAGCAAACTTTGTAAGGAAAATGCCGAGTAGTCTTGAATACTTGAACAAATCATTGGGCTCTGTCTTTATGCAAGGTAAGGTAACGTGCATTTGGGTTTGCTGGGCCGTAGCCAGACGTTTCGCGCATAGAGGACATGCAGGAGGCAAGATTTGTGATCGTCTAGGCTTGAGCCATTAGGGGGGTCTGTCGACATTCTCCCGGAAAGAAATCTAAATGAGCTAAAACGCTAGCTTGTTTTATTAAGTATTTCCTCAGAAAAATCAATGTCGTTCAACAGAATATTATCCTTTCCCAACTAAGCATTTTGCTATTCATATTTCTTCATTTTTCTGAGTTAAATATAGACGCGTTTTGTACTCAATTTATTTGCCTTTCCGTGTGTGAAAGCCAAGCAGTGTGAGCAAGATTTTGTGTGCACAAAGGAAGCTTAACTTTCAAAATTCACGTCACCGCAATGAGTTGTACATTTGAGCCCGCATACAAACAAGTGGAACTGGTCAGCGGATACTTTTTTGAAAGATATTAAATTAACTGCTAAAATCGTGGATGAAGATCCCGCTAGTTGTAAACGTTGGATCTCTAGAAAAGAGATCTAATCAGCCCAAATATAAAGAACCAAAAACGAGAAGTCCAAAGACTACTGCAAAGCTGATTAAGAACAACGTGTATTGTTTTTTCATAACAATATTTCGGCTGGCCATACCAGCCTTCTTCAGGTTTACAGATCTCACTGAACTTATGTAGGAATCACAATATTATATAGATGGAGAATGCCGCAATAAAAATTGTTTAAGAGGGAGAGGCGAAAATGACGTACAACACAAAAACTGGAAAGGAAAAATAATAAGGATATGGATTACAATAATTCGTCACGGCGGTTTAGGCCATGAGGTTCAAGAGTCATGGCCTTATCTATCAAATGCGACTCCCTGGCCTTACGAACTGAGTCACGTGAAGAATGAATTTTCTCTAGTGGGATTAACGGCATGTCAGTGTGAGAGCGGTTAGAGTGAGATAGAAAGTGTTCAGAAACAGCAGTGGGTTTAGATTTAATGTTAGTTATGTCGACTGTACGTCTGTGTTCGTTAAATCTGTCCTTGAGACGTTGTTTAGTTTCAGCTATATACTGTAAATTGCAACGGTTAGATTGAATAATGTAGATCACGTTTTCAGTGTTACAAGTAATGTGTGAAGTGATGGAACGTGTTTCACCTGTAGCGTAAAAGGTATAACTTGTGAGGCCATTAGTAACTGTGTATGGACAAGTGGCACAATTTTGTCCACAGCGGAAGGAGCCTGGCGGAAAATGATTGTTAGAGATAACGGGTAATTGTGCTTTACATGTAACTAAAAGGTTACGAAGATTAGGGCTACGTCTGTAAGCAACAAAAGGCGGTTTGCAAAGACGTCTTTGCAACGTTTAGAGGAGTGTAAGATGTTAAAATGTTTGCGTAGGATATAAGAAATGCGTGCAATGCTGGGTTGTATGTGACAACAAGTGTTACAACATCGTTAGAATATTTAGGTTTAGTCTGTAACGCGTTAGTGCGAGAAATATTGGCAGCGCGTAGAAACTGTTCTTCTAAACCTGAAGAAGGCTGGTATGGCCAGCCGAAATATTGTTATGAAGAAACAATACACGTTCCTCTGAATCAGCTTTGCAGTAGTCTTTGGACTTATCGTTTTTGATTCTTTTTTGACAGCTGTCAATTTACCGTAACATGGATGTCCACTATCAAGATAAACACAGATTGTATATGTGTCTTGGACAGCTACATGTAGTTAATAATTCTCGGTCATTACAAGGAAATTTTGCCCGCTCAGCAGCCAATCAAACGCGCGTACTGTTGTACCAATATAATGAAGTTGTTTATGTTGGCTTTCGTCGAACAGGAAAAAGCACATGAAAAGCAAAAAATTTGTTTTTTTCGAGAGGATTATGGGGTTAGGTAATTTAGGTTTTTGATCACCAAACGTATGGTGTTCCAGGGCTGTTAGAAAAGTTGAAATATGCCGATGGATCGATTGAGTGACGTAGCTCAGTCACGGCAGCCACCAGGCGACCGTGATAAATCTGCAAAACCGTAGCTAATAAAGCACTTTTATATCAAGGCATTTTTTCGATAAGAAAGACGCTGAAAACTTTGCGTGACCAAGAGCTCTGCGTGGCGGTGCACTTGTTTGCTGAGGAGGTAAACACAGAGTCGGATTTGGTTTTGATTTTGCATAGAAAAGCGCGCTTAAGAACGATATCGTCCGGAACGCCCTAAATTCTGATTGGCTGGAAATAAGATAGGCTTGGAACCTGCCGCCTTAGCCTGCAAACCATTATCAAATGCCTTGCCATAAAATCCCATTATGATGTCGTCATAACGGTGTCTTTTAAGGCAGGATTTTCATTTTTACTGTTCAAAGTTTGATAACTTCTCATATAGGCTTTCATTTCCCTGAAATTTTTGGAAGTTTGCCAGGTCTCTCTGCTTTAAGACACTGTTTTTCAAAGTGTTTTTGTTCGAAAAAGAAGTGTTACCGACGAAAAGTAATTTGTTATTTACATCAGCTGACTATAACTTTACACATGCTTGACTGTGTTTTCATTTCATAGTGAATAAATACAGTCCAACTCCACCATATGGACTGAGCCCCGTTAATACTACCAAATTTCTCAAGGTCGGACTGTGACCCTTAAACGTTACACTTAACCCCTGAATAGAAAATAATTAAACGCTCGAGAAGTTTAAGCGCCGTGAGCCAAAAGAGAAAAAAAAATACAGCAACATCAACAAAATCGTTGAGCCGAATATGGGGAATGGTAATCTCCGATATATCCAGATCTTACCCTTTGGTGACTGCTAGCACGTAGCGAAAAGACCGCATTTGTCATCAATTCTTCTTTTTTGAATTAGTTTTTGGCCAGTTAGTATGGGAATGGCGGGTCCAAACGTTATATATATTTTTTAGTAAATTTTGTACATTTTGAATGGCTGTATCTCGGTCCATTTTGCACCGATAGACACCAAACTTGAGGATTTTTAAAGCTTGATGTACTTTTTCCGACTATGAGAGTCTTGTGTTAATAATCCAATAAAAAAACCTTCCAATCAAGTCCCCGTCGGCTTAAAGTTGGCAATAGAAAATCTGGGTGCGAAATTAGCCTGTGTAGTGGTCTTCGAGACGGGTAGGGGATCGGGAGGAAGGGAAAATGGGAGTTCTTGCTCTCCCCCTCCCCGTCTCCGTTTTTCGCCTGCCACCCAGTCTATGTGAGATAAGGTGGATGGTTGAGTGTTTGTGTTTGTTTTTGTTGTGATTGACAGGTGAGACGATTGTGGGGGATGGTACCACCGCACAACTCTCCGCAATGCTTACTGGAGTGGAGGAGAAACGTCAAGTGGACGCACGGAAAAGAATAACAAACTCTCAACCAGTTGACAGCTGGCGCTGGATTTTTAAAGACTACAAAGACAAGGGATACGCCACGATGTTCTCCGAAGATTCACCTTACTTTGCGTCGTTCAATTATCGTTTACGTGGTTTTAAAGATCCACCCACTGACCATTACGCAAGACCCTTCTGGATGGAAGCTGACAATCACATCAATGGGTATTGTATTAATAACCGAGCGTCCCACGACGTTTCGTTGAAGTATCTGTTGAGTCTCTTTCGCAGGTACAGAGACACACCAAAGTTTGGATTCTCTTCCCATGCAGTTATTTCTCATGATGACCCGAACACGGTTGGTTACGCAGATGCAGATCTGAAATCGTTTCTAGAAACTTTTGAGAAAGAGACGTTCCGAAATAACACCTTGTTGATCATCTTTGCGGACCACGGAGCACGGTTTTCAGACTTGAGAAAAACAATCCAAGGAAAACTAGAAGAAAGGTTTCCATTTCTGTCGATCACTACACCTAAATGGTTTCCTGAAAAGTACCCAGACCTCTACAACAGTCTCGTCCATAATTCTCGTGTCCTCACGTCACCATTTGATGTGTACGCCACCTTACGCCATATTTTGTCGTACCCAGAATATCCGACGGGAATCTTAATGGGTCAAAGTCTGTTTACTAAAATTGACGAAAGAAATCGCACATGCGCAAGTGCCGGTGTTGAGGATCATTGGTGTCCCTGTCTGAATTTGGAAGAAATTTCCACTGATGAGCAAGTAGTTTTTCAGGCAGCGACGTTCGTGCTTAACCATATCAATAACCTGACCTCACAGACTGCAGAACTGTCCGACTTTTGTCAGCGGCTGACTTTGAAGGAGATAACAAGCGCTTTTCGTGACATGCCAAGCGAAGCTATGCAGAGATTTCGTGACACTAAGCATCGTTCGGATGATGCCTGTGACAATTGTGAAGTCGTGATGGGCGATAAAGCTGAAAACACTCTTGTTAAAGACACTTTGTATCAATTAAAGCTGTTAACAGCTCCAAATAATGGATTTTATGAGGCTTCTGTGAGAATTACACGAGGTGTTCTTTCCATTGTGGGAGATATCAGTCGTATTGATGCTTACAAAGACCAGCCATATTGTATACAAGATAGATTCCCCCTTCTACGTAAATTTTGCTACTGTTATCGAACAGCGTCTCTGAAAGCCTAGGTTTTTTTTAATTTATTGAGTGTGCAGGAATGTAGAAAATTCCTGCTCTTTTTTATTTTCTAAAGAGATCAAAATTCATTCGCATGAAAAAATAGCACGTCTAGTAAATGTCAATGTTGGCAGGCAACGTGGACACTGTTTTTACGTCTCCTCTAATTGAGGAGTTCACGCTCATAGTTGCATCATGGGTAATCTGGGCAAGATGGTGGGAAATTCGAAGATTTGTATTGAAATTCAAAGCCAGTTAATTCTTCCTGAATTCATATATTTGATGCTTTCTCTTTGAAAAGAGTAACTTACGAGTTCAAAGAAACAGTACACTATTTCTGCAGTGCAAAGAAGTTCGTGATCAGTTCTTAGACTGAAACCTCGATTTTCTCATACATTTTCTGTAATTCGACAGTATCAAAATTACAGAAAATGTATCGAAAAATTGATGCAACTATGAGCGTGAACCCCTCTATTGAGACGGGACTGCCATGTCCACATGGTCGCGCGAGCCTCGCGAGTCCCCAGCCGTTTGCAGCGCAAAGGTTGCACCTTCTCGGGAAATAAACACGCGACCAACCGATATACAGGCCAGCACGTACTTTATCGCACTCTTTTTCTTCTTCTTTTTTTAATAGCGTTTATTTGAACACGATGAAACAACACAATGACAGACAGAGAGAGTACACAAAAACAAAAGAAAAAAAAAAGTAACAAAATAAAATGAAGAAAAAAGAAGAAAAAAATAGAAAAAGAAAGAGAGGAAAGGAAGGGTAATTAAGTATAAGAAAAAATACACATTACAACTTACTAACCAAAGATTAAGAGTAACAACAACTGAGTTGACTTGGACGGCTCAAGGACTCGAAAGCATAGGGGTTCTACTGATATTTTTTCCCTGAAAAGCTTAGAAATTACACTGTTCGATTTGGTTGGCTGCAGTGTTGAGTGAACTTCTCCCAGATATAAGTTTTCAAAATAAATTGCACTGTTTTTCCTGATTTCGCCACACGCGAAAGCCGTAACTACCTGGTCCAAGAGACCAAGGGAGATGGTTACTAACAAGAAAATGGAGAATAAATCAAGTGACAGGATAGGGGGTAGTACCTCTGGAGAAATTTGAGCTACGCCCCTGGTATGTGCTTCTATAACGATGCATTGTCTTTTCTTTGACTCGAAACTTAAAGGGGTTGTGACGTCACGGCTGCCTCATGTGAAACAAATATGTCTCCAAAATATATCAAACGCTACAGACAAAACGAAGGAACTTTGAAAAACTGTTAGGCTAACAAGTTTTCAAAAACCATCATTGCAATCCGTTTCAATCGTCTATGAATTTGCCCATTCAGGCCTTCTTTTGTATAGGCTGTGATATCGTTTTCTAATGTCCTGAGCAGTCATTTTTATGTTTCGCTCAATTTGGTGGTAGTCCTAACTGTTTGAATTTTGAGAAATTTCGTGACACAGCCCCTTTCAGTGATTTTCATTAACGGTTCGTTTGACAGGGAGTCAACTGTATAATATTTAGCCATATCTAATTTTTAAACCGTAAATTCTGCAGAGTAGAAATAACGACACTAATTAAAAAGAGTCACTTAAGTGACGTGCCCACCAAGGTTACCTCCCGGGGGGGAGGAGGGGGGAGGGTGTACTTGGGTTAATTTTTGCTGGGTATGTGCCGCTGGCCTCTCAGAGCCCCTACCCCGTTATAGTCTTTTCTGTGGCCAATTATAGACCCCATCCTAGTCACTTTTGGTCAAACACGTAATTTTCGCTATCCCAACTTAGTCACCTATTTATGCATCTACCTTACATTGAATGAAGAACACTTTACTTCACCTGCAGTACAAACATTCTGGTACCCTTACTAACCGTAAACATGAAGAACTCTCTAACCCCCGAAATCAAAAAATTTGCGACCCCATTATAGTCAATCCAGTCGTGTAAATGCGAACCCATCTAGCGGCACATCCCCAGTAGCCCCTTATAAGGAACTGCCCCACCCCGGGTTACCTCAGTCTGTTCCTTGTGGGAAGGTCTCAAACCAGAAACTTTGGAGGAATAGCTCACGAGGTTGTTTGGAGTGCTAATTATCTACAAAAGTGTTTTGGCCAGTGTTTGCCAGCAAATACCATAACAAAACATTCGATCAAATAAAATAACGATTTTTTTTAGCTATGTTGAGTTCTAAATATCAGTATAAGCAGATTAAAACACGTTGTGTATAATTACAAGCAACGTACTATTTAGAAAAATTCTGGGCTCTTTGAAGCTCAAGGTCACGTGACCTTTCTCGTGCCAAATTATAAGGTACTAACCTAAAATTACTGAAGATTGAAAGAGCATAAAATAGTGAGTGGGTCTGTCAATTTTTAGGTTTCAGACTCTTGACTGTATGATTTTTATGGGGTTTGAGCAAGTGTAACAATTGAACAAGTCTCTGGACCGCTAGGCGTGCGGTTGAAGACTTTTTTTTCCATACAAACCTTAATAACGTCGCAGACATTCCAACAATCATAACATTTTATTCCTATGAGTCACAAGAGAATTGACTTTGGGAAGAATTTTCCTCTCTCGGTCAATCTCTTTCAATCTCTTGTATTGTTTAAGATGTATACTATGATTTTGCATTAAGCAGTCACGTTAATGCTAGCTGCAAAGGGCCTATCTTTTTTTTCTTTAATGTAGACAGTGGTTCTAGAGCTATATATATTTTTTCCTTTGGAAAAAAGTTTACTGTTTTATAATTATTTATTAATTTAGTGTTTGTGAGTGTTTACTGTAAATTTATGTTATTATTTTCAATACAATTATAGAAATTTACATAAAATGTATTAATCTTTTGCATTAAATAAACAAAAAAATAACTAGAGGTATAAGTAAATTAAATTAACAAGTTGTGGATTGTGTATGTTGAGCACTAATTTCTGGTTTTATTGTCTGTAAACGGAGGAATCGTACTTAGGAAGTTTTTGCCCAAGGGAATTAAAATTATTTATTTATTTAGTGTTTGAGGGTGTTCATTTTTGTAAATGTATGTTAATATTTTCAATATAATTATTAATAGGAATTTACGTAAAATGTATTATTTAATCTTTTACATTAGATAAATAAATGAATAGAGAAATAAATAAATAGATTAACATGTTGTGAATTGTGTATGTTGAGCAAGTGTTTCTGGTATTATCGTCTGTAAACAGAGGAATCGTATTTAGGAATTTTTTGCCCAAGGGAAGTTGATGTCTTTAGCCTCGGGCTCATTTGTTATTTACGTTGTGTGACAATTAATGAATGAGGCTGAGTATCTTATGATCGAGGAGGGTGTTACGGCCGAGGCGGATAACACCCTCCAAGATCGCCATAATTCTTCATATGATACGAAAGCCGAATTCAATAATTGTTTTATTATTCATTCAAAATAATTCCTAGTTCAAAAACATGGCTAAAACATGCTTATCTTCATCGATCCATCGACGTTAAGTTCATCTTCGATAGTGCACGTTTAGGGTTTTTCAGCTCCGCAAATATTCGCCAAATAGCAGATGTCGTCCTTCGAGTTGTCTTCTTGCTGTTCCTGCCATGTTTTAGCTATTTTTTCGCCTAGTTCTTACTCTTGAAACGAGTGAAATGTTTGCCATTTTTCAAGTTCACAACCAAAACAACTCAATCTTGTCCCCAGGTTTTCTCGGTTAACGGTGCATTAACCTGCGAGAACGCTGCATGTTTGACGTCATTTCCTCGCTAAACACAAAATTCTTCCAAATTTGGTCATCAGCAACTGGTTATGGTGAATTAAACGTGTGCTTTTAGCCTGTCAGAATCGGGGAAATATTTTGAATGAATAATAATAGTAGTGTAAGCGTGAAGCGTTGCTTACAGATGGCCCAGTGAAATTATTACTCTCACCTTTGTTGTACAAGGTGATGGTTCTAAATTTAGAATTTGTGGTCATTCAAGAAGACGGTCTTTACCGGCAAAGTTAGGGCTCTTAGGTGGGAGATTGGTTTCGAGCAGTAAATCGTAGTCATTGTTATTACAATTGTCAAAGCATATTTTTATTTCTTTACTTTAGCTGCTCTTTTAAGGTGATTATCTAGCGACCTTTAACTTCTAGAGATAATTTACATTTAAATTATATGAAGTTGCCTTAAATATTTTTCCTCTGATAATTTATCTGTTGTTTCTTCTTGTTTCAATCCTCCGAAAAATTCATTTAAGTTGTTACGTAAAAGGATCGATTTTTATTATTGTGAGCTTTCATAAGAAAAAATTTTGGGGTATTATGCTAACGTTCTATTTCCTCTTAAGAGTTTAAAGCAGAACAATGGGTTCAATCCGTTCAGTAACAGGAGACTTGTTGCCGGGTTTATAACACATTATTATTGCTATAAAATCTAGTCGGGAGGATCAAAATGTGGACCGCCCCTACACTTATAATCATTTGACTATGATACAAGTCCAGAAGAGTAGTTCCCTGTCTATCATTAACACGTTTGAATATTTGTGGACCAACATACTTAGTCGACCAGTCGAAAATCAAATCAGTCCGGCGAGCTGCCAATGTCACGCCCGGTTAACAGGGTCAAAGAATATCTGGACACAGGTCACAATCTTGAAGGCAAGACATCCTGTAACACTGTGTTGAAACATCAGTGGGCCGGTATGTTCCTATTTCATTCCCCAGGATAGGTTTCTTTTTGTGCGCCGACTTTGAACTGAATACTTAAGATCATCAACTGGACTTGAACATGTCACACAGGAGACTCTCAATCGCCACGCTACCAATGGTCTGACGAAAAAACAGTTCTTCGATCGTCTTAGGGTTCACCATTCTCAGAGATGGTAACATAAGCAGCAGTTTTCCAAAACGAACTTGCTGACCAGGAAAATGCCTTCTGATGTAATCCCCCAACATGATTTGTGCTTGGTCCTGGTAGCATTCTACTTGCTGAGGATCCCGTAAGCCTCTGAGCTCTAAAAGTTTCAAGGAAAAAATAAATTAAGCTGCAGCAAAACGTTTTTATTCTTGGTGGATAGGTGTGTTCCGCGTACGTTCTCGAGGACTGACACTATTGAAATGAAATAAATTGGAAACTTATCCCCTTTTTAAGGCTCAAACCAGAGAAATGACATTAGAGACCTTACTATTCGAGGAAGAGGGCGACTATGAAGACGAGATTTGACTTTAAAAGACAACCCGAAAAGTTTCATTGTACTTGTTTTGACCAGAAAAGCTATCACGGTTATTTTTTTTTGAACGAGCTTAATAAGCCCTCTCCAGATAGGAAAGTGATAGAACTTCTAACATTTGATAACTTGTTTCCACCACTACGACAATCTCGCTAAATCTCGTAGTAGAATGACCACAACTATGATAAACTATCTCGTTTTCTCGCCAAAAGGCCGCTTTTTCCCTCGCGCACTACTTAGTATTGAGAAAATCTCGTTCTCGTACACGTCCTCGTCGTAGAAAATACAGGTCTCTACTTACAAGAAGCGTACCCGATGAATGAATTGTCATGTGCGCGCGCTATATATTAGTGCGTGTTCAAATTGTTTACTGTGAAAAGACTTTTCTTATAAATAATTTTCTCCGCTCGCTCAGTGTGGGTTACGTACATTCCGCCTACTTTGCAAAGAGTGAAGTAAAAGAACAACTAAGGCCGCATAAAATGTTGACGTATGCTACTATATAAAGCACACACTAACTATCGTCAGTAAATTGCTCTAGACCAGTTAAGGTACATTTCATGATTAATCTTATTCAAATTTTTTGCGCATCCTTATTGCCTATAATTTCACGCGTGATTGGCACGCGCACATTAAAACGTGGCGGCTTTTGCCTTAAAGCTGGAGTTCGCCTGAGAGGTAAATTGTCATTTTCTCAAATGTAGAAATGTGGTGACGATGCTTTTTTTTTCTCTTTTGAGTAGTAACTGACTTTCCCTAGAATAGAACAAAATAGAGACTAATTTCCAGTGTAGAAAAAGAAGCAATCGTAGGAAATAATCATATTGGTATTTTTAGGAATCATTTCCATAGATACCCCGCCCCGCCCCCCCTTCCCCCCAAAAAATAAATAAATAAATAAATAAAAAAAACTACCAATGTAAGTTTCTATAGCATAAACAAGCAATCGGTGAATTTTGACAAAAATCTCACTGGCCCTATTTTTCAGGAATGACCTTGAAGGACTTTGGCTTCACTCACCGTCCTGGCGGAGGAAGTCAATCCTGGCCATTTCCGGAAATGATTTCCTGATTTTCATCGCCGAATTTATCCTCGTAAAACTGCACTGATTGCCTTATGTGTTGCATTGTTTACATCGTGATGTAAGGTTTTCTTAAGCACTCATGCGGCGTTCTCTTGTATCATTAATTGCGTATATCAAAAGAAGTGCATTTTGATTGGTTCTTCAGCTTTGGAACAGAGTTTTGCGCTTAAGGGTTTTTACGCTTCTGTTTCAAATGTTTTTAACTTTCACTACGAATTAACAATTATCAAGGCTGTGGCGGTTTAAAACCATGTATAGTTATCTAACCTGTTACGAATTTTCAAAGAGTCGGATGTCGTGAGTCGACTCTAGCTTGAGAGAAATTACAGTTAGGGTTGTTTGCTAAATTGTAAATAATTCAGTATTTAGTCCGTAGATATTCATTTTTGTATTCAAAGGTTTCCTCATTATTATGTCTTTAAGAAATTCCCCAAAATAGACTTCATGTCTACAAACAAACTACCCAAACCGTCTTCCTTTGCCACCAGTCTTATCTGTTTGCTTTAAAGATACAATGAAGAAAGATTTAAAACTCTTTTTTTTTCAGAACTTTACTTTAACCATCTAGTTAATTCAGTGACGCTTGTCTATCAATATAAATTTTCTGTTGGGGCAGACCTATTCGAACGAAAAAGGCGTTTGACGCGCGTGGTAAAGAAGAATCGATTGTGGAAAGTCGCCTCTTGAATCTGCATTTGAATGCAATGCAAGATATTAATTATCGTGACTTTTTTGTATCCAACGCGGGAAGTTAGGTCTGTCAACTGATGTAATTTGGATGTTATTGAGTATAACTTGACATCCGAGTCAAGGCGGGTGGTAGAATAATTCAGGATGATTTTTATTATATTATTTTTTACTTTGAAAACACCTGTTACATAAACCACAGTGTAGAATAATCCAACACGTTTATTTTTACAAATACTGTGAAAAAGGAAGGTACTCGACTGGCTCCTCTGTTCTTCTTGCTTTCTATCCTAATTTTCGTTAAAAACTCACATCATTTAAGCTCAGAAGAACTAGTAGATAAAGTTTCTTTTTTTCTATACTTTTTGGACAGAGACAATAAATTGAATAAAGCAATTCAAGGCATGCTTTGTTTCGAGATAGGGAGGTATCAATTTAAAGTTTTAAGAGGCAAGACTCGGTTTGATGTGCAATGTAGTTATGTCTATTTGTTTAAATGAAACAGATAAATTGCTTTATGAACCAGAGATCCAGTTCGAATAATACTTTAGTAAATTGGAAGCTTTAAAATGTCTTTTGGAATAGAGTTGTTTCAATTCCACAGTTTTGGCGTAAACAGACATACCAGCGCTTTTCAACATCAGTTTATTTTCGGCTATAGTTTGTGATGACCATCTTTGAGTACTCTAGAACTAGAAGCAATTTATCTCTTTGTGGTATCGTCCATTAGGCCGTTTTATCGTTATCTCCACACTGATCAAACCAATGTCAACTTGAACTTTCTTGAAGAAACTACGAACTCCGACAGAGGAATAACAAAACTCTAAACTCTTTGACAAATAAAACAAACTTTATGTTTTCGCATCGTCTTCCAAAAACTTCCATTGTTTCTTTATTTTGCAAGAGAAAAAAATACTCATTGCAAGTGCTAGTATATGATTTTGAACAAATTCTTGAAGCCCTTACTTTTTATAATTACAAAGCACAGATAACAAGTTTGACGATTCTTTTGCCAGATCATTAATATGAAAGAGTGTAAGTTTCAGATTTGATTAAAGTTAATATGAGAAACTTAGAATCGCCATAATTAGGAACATTTCAATAACCGAAGCATACAAGCTTATTAAGGAATTCAATCATAGAGAAATGGTTTTTAATTATAGATGAGCGAAAGTGTGGACTCAAAGCGGGAACTAAATTACAGAAAATTAAGCGGCTTTGATTTAGCTATGATATGGTTATTGATACGACCGGCTAATAAAGCAGAACTAAAAAACACACTTGAGCTTATTAATACACGCTAATATCTGAGGTCCTTTACATGTGCGCCTGTAGAGCGACAAATGGATTATTCTCTTCTAGAATAAATTTTACTTTCAAAATACAAGACTTTCAATTTTAGTTGATTAATGCCTTTTACGAACTTGGTTAGTCTATTACGATTTTATACGACGCCCATCAGATATGAGATAAGTTTCCAATATTCAATTTAACAGTGAAAACGCGTGAAACTATAGCGAAAAAAAAATTAAATAAATAAAAAATAAGCTAGTCCTATAAAATTGGTTTCAAAAGTATTCCTGTGCCGGGAATTGTGAGCATTTTGCCGACATTACGATAACTAAAAAAATTAAAAATCTCAACAATGATTCTAAAAGATAACTTCTGAAAGCAGCGGCGTACTTTAAATTCATTTTGTGGTAAAGTCGCAAAATTCCGTTCAACTCTACACTTTATGCGGGAATTTAATTCAAATACAAACATATTAATGCTGATGCAGCCGACTTTTGAAGAAAAAATACCGAAGGTTTACATTCGACTTTGACAATAACACAAGACTTTCTGTCAATAGTGAGCGCACATGGAGAAAACGTAAGTTTTCAATCCCCTTTTTATCCGCGGTAAATTCCGGTTCAGTTTGAAGTTTGAAAATAAATTTGTGATCTCGTACGGCTGACTTTCTATGATTTTGGCTCGATGGTGGATTTTTATTTTAATCTAAAGCTGCGGATGGCAACCATTTACAAAAGAGCCCATAAATGAAAAAAAAAAAAAAGAAAAAAAAGAGAGAAAAGAAAAGAAAAGAAATACACCGTAGAAGTTATTCACAATATACCACAATATCGGATGGCTATCGAAACCTATCCGGTATTTTATGAACGCCTAACCGATATGTGACTCTCCACGTTAGAGATAGGCGGGTGCAGCGTAGATTCGCTTCGTTACATAAATTAAATGGCGCCGAAATAACCATTCTTCAGGTGAACTGAAACCCTATCTTACATGGTTTTCGTGCCTGCGCAAAATCTATCCGGTATAGTTTGAACATAGCTTAAGATATACTCGATGATTATTGTTCCCGACTTTTAATTTCTGACTTACCGGATTTGAAGAGCACCACTGCCTTTAGACAAGCAAACTCAGCTTCGCCGACTTGAATGCTTCGAAAGCGTGCGCTTATTTCTTGGAGCATGCGGATGTCAGCCATGGTTGCGACTATTTTTTCGGCGGGCGTGTTGTCGACGTGCATGCCCGCCGCGGCCAGTAGCGGTGCCACTTCCAAAGGCATATTCCATTGAACTGCGCCCATAATGAAGAGTTCCTCCATCCTTCCTCTAACAAAATCACCTGATCTCGGAAAGGTAGGTTCACAAACGATGGAATATTCCTCGCCCATTTCACAGAAATAAACAGCAGACGAGCAGCCGATTCGCAGATTGCATCTGGTGTGGAAGAGTATAGTGAGGTCGTTATTTCTTGTTGCGGGGTGTAAGGGATACCTGGGTTTTGATGTGCGAACCTGTGCACGGCTTCACGGCATGGTTCCGCCACAATCAAACTCGTCAGAAAATCGCTGTTCATGATTTTGCTGGCATATTCCTCTCCCAGTGAAGGCTTAAGGAGTCTAGTCGAGTTTGGTTGTCTCTCTTGTTGAACGGCTGTAATTGAAAAGAAATTTAAAAGATGAGACTTCCTGAAACAAAATAGGGTAATATTTGGCTTGTATTACCAGGTGGAGTCGTGTGTGCTATGTGCATGTTTCTAAATAATTGTTGCTTGAAATGGAATCACACATTTTGGTATGTCGACCAAGCAGCCAGAGACAGGGCTTTTACTATTCCGAGGCATTTTTCTGGACCCTTCCTGTTCTTCGTTCCTTCCTTGTCTATCATACTTTTCAAATCAGATTTCAAATTAGCGGACGAGGTAGAAAGAATATTTTTATTTACAAGGTAATCGACCCAAGCTCGCTTTTTAAGTTCTTACAGGCAAAACCTACGTATACTTGCTTGGTTAAAAAAATTGTCCTTTCAATCAATTTGAGTTTACCTTGTGCCATGAAGGCCGATATTTCATTAAGCACTCGTGTGGATCACCGTTTATATAATTGATAAAGACATTCGAAGGACAGTGATACTTTAGAGTTAACATCTATGACCTCTATTTGTGGCACTATTTTTTGGAATCAAATTTAGCTTTTTTCTCAAGCTGAATATGTATCCAGTACCAGCTGGACAGTTTGAGACAAAAAGTTAAGTCAGAAAGCTCTCTTTAATGATAAAACTTTATTCAGAGGGCGTTATCAAATGCTGATTATGTTAGTGACAAGCAAGAACCGAACAACACTAGGTCTAAATAAAATTAAAGTGTTGTTATCGCAATGAAACTGTTTCAGGACTGTTAACCCTATTCGAAGGAGCCAGTGGCAATAAGAAAACCACTATTTCAAAAGTAGAATGTTTTTCAATATTGGACAGCTCTATTAAGGCTATTTCAAACCGCGATTTCTAAATTATTGAATAGAATATTTAGAATACCTAGGAGCAAAATTTTGTCTACGAAGGCGGGTACGTGATGTTTTATTAATGCATAAGTTTCACTGATAGTACTTTTAGGTAATTGTATTTCACCATTGTTTCTTACAAAAGATCCCTTGGAGAACTAAGGAAGTTTCTTCCTGGATTACTTTCGAATTTAAATATGAAAGTTATTGATTAGATGCAATACAGATTGCATACTTTACTCAACAAAGCTAAATGCAATAGTTAGAAAGCGAGATGCAAAGAGGGAACAATTTTGTTCCTTGATAAACTGAAAGGAATGAGAAACCCCAGACTGTCTGTTTTTGCCCACACGCAGTTTAAGGACAAAGCTATTAAAATTTATTACACAATGAATCGAAAATCCGTCTTTTCTCCTACAGTTGATCTTGAATTCTTTGTTTTCTACGTTAATAAGATTGGATAAACAGAATCTTTAGTTAGAAACTTCACTGCTTACTTCCTAAGACGGTTTAAATGCGAGAGAGAAGTGATTCAGCTATCAGTTAGACTTTTTGAGTATTTAGGGTCAGTTTAGGTTGTACTTGCCTATGACCCTGTGAAATTTAATTTTCGTTTTCACTTGTCAAGTTCCGTTACTGGCTGAAACATTCCGACCTTTTCTTTTTTTGGGTACAAGCTATGAAACGCAAGACGAACGTTGCAAACCCAAACCTGCTACATGAATTCAATTCTCGCCCTTTTTATTCAATCATAATACAAACGCTCTGTAAAATAATTCCGTTGACGTCTTTTCTCTATAAAATAATTTCAAATACCCTGTCATACAAAGCCTATAAGTCGTCACCTTGGCAAAAATGCCTGTTATATAAAAAGAAAAAACAAAAGCCAGTCTTAGAAACTTACAAAAAACCTATTTTACCACACAGTGGTCGCTTCTTGCTTTCAAAGCCGGAACTTTTTTACTTCACTTTTCTTCGATAAATTTTACTGCAAAGCTTTTTAACCACTTCATCATTACTTTTAGTTGAAGTGCAACATTGCATGTAATAACGCTTCCCCTAACTTACTGTTTTCTGCTTGATTATAACTTTCTTCATATCACTGCTGAATCTCAAAACCACTCTTCTGTTTTGCCGTTACAATCCAAAAGATGCCCTAAGACTTTTAGAGACTGTTCTCCCGAAAAATGTTTTGGTCAACGTTTGTTTGCTAATTAGATCTTCTCGCTTTTCGACAACAGCTCTTCAGAGTATTTAAGTTTATAAGGCTTGTTCGAAATGCAGTGGAAATGTAGGCTTCCTGGATAAAATCCAAATTAAATCATCCGGCCTCTATTTTTAATTCTTTTTTTTTTTATTTTCATGAAAAGTTTCACCCCAATGGTCGATATAAAAGGGTTGTAGCATAACACGGAAGATTCCTAACATTTTTAACTCATTAAACTTGAAAAATTTTTGAAATCATTTTTTCTCACTGTAATCTATCTGTGGCTTTTAAAGATAATTTTAGCAGAGTGGCCTCCTGCTTGCTTTAAATCAGTGAAATTTATCCATATGAGATGAAAATATTTCTTCATTTAGCGGTTACTGGACAAATAATTCCATATTGACTTTACTCAAGACAAGTTTGTGGCAAGTTTTCACAATAATTTGAAAATTATTTTACGAGTTCTGTAGGATCCCGTTACATAACAATCCAACCTGTTTATAATAAAGTTTTTTTTTTGGCATTGCCTAATTCAAGACAACGAAAGAGTACTGCCCAGAAATGTAATATCATTGTTTAAAAGAAATGCTAAGATACCACAAAAGATGTGTCTTAAACACAGGTCTGGCTTTCCCATTTCATAAACAGTCCTTTTGTTGAACAAAGCTCTATTTTTTCTCCCTGAGAAACACTGAAAAACATAAAAATAATTGTATGTAGAAAACGCAAGGTAAAGGAAGGATTATAATAAAAAACTGTGGTTTCTTAAGCTCTTTAAATGAGAAAAACGTCAAAAGAAAGGCGTTTTAATGTTTAGCGAAGGCCACGCGTTTTTGTTTGTTTTATCATCCAGTTCTCGCTGCTGCCCCCAGTATTACAATAGCGTATCACTATCTATATTAATCTATTCAAAACAAGCGGCGTGGAGCTACTAAATTGCCTATATTTCAAATAAACCATAATCGTGTTAACACCGGTGTTTTCCTCTACCTTAGGAAAAGTAATTTCCTTTGGTTCTATGCGCCAATGTCAAACAAGGATCTTTTTTAAGCTTAAAATAGTGATGTCCTCCATGTAGTCCGTCAATTTAGCAGAAAGTTTTCAGTGAGATATTGTATATAGCTCATACAATAGGTGCATTTGTTTCCTTGCAGAAAACTTATTTTATTGTTTAGAGAAGAATGAAGGCGAGTTACATTTCAAAAGAAGAATACAGCACAGATTTTCTAATGAATAGAAAAATTTCCTCCCGGCTAATCCCTTTACATCACCTGCGGAAAGCTGTTTCAGTTAGTATCACAATGTACCCAGTCTCGTGCCTTTCCTTTAGAAGCCAAAATGTAAGTTGTTGTTCATCAAATGTTGCTAAAACTCCAAATAATTTCATTTTACAGGATGTAAACTTTTCCTCAAAGCTGCCGCCAAATGTTTTTTTTTTCAGCAGTTGAAAAGGTTTTTTCACCTGTACTCATTAGGACGACATATGCTGTTTTCGGTCATGGTTCACTGATTATCACTTCGGACAATTTACTGTTTTTCTAATCTTCCCGCGATATCATGCTAGCTTTTCATTAGGACACATTTATTTACCATTTTGTCGGGAAACTCTAATTTCTTAGAGCATTGCGCGGGCACAGCACTGAATAAATAAAGTTTAATTGCGAAAGTTCTACGACCGCAGCTTGCGAAAATACACAGTGATTTGTTGTCCGTGAAAAATTGGACGAAAGTTTGACGTTTCCTTTTTATTATAAAGATTAATTGGAACTAATTGCTGTCTTCGAAATTCAATGTATTTAGGGAACAATGTCCCTCCACCAGAGTATCAAAATATCATTTTCAAAATACGTATCATGTCGTCAAATTAAAGAGAATTCCAAAATACCAAACATCGTATAAATTGTGATAAGGATTTGCGTCGCTCAAGAGTTTCAACTTTAAACTATTCAGGGGCAGTCCTCAAACTCGACTTTTAGGACTTTTCAACAAAATTCTTCAATTTTAACGTTTTGGATGATGCGAAGTAAACATTCTGTCACCGAATTAAATTTTAATTTTTTTTTCACTCAGGAGAAGGACATTTTGCTTTACCTCTCATACCAAGAAAAGAATTCTTCTTTTTAAATGGCTCCAGTGAAAAGGGTGTCATATTTTAAAAGAATTCCGCCCTCTTTTCAGTCATAATACATGGGTTTGAAAATTGAGGACAAAAAGCTTGGCAAAGCGTTGTGTTCATCGATTATTCAACAATGTTACCCCGGAATTAGGTTAAGCTTCTCTGTTAAGATATGTGACAAAAACCAAAACAAATTCTATGATCAGGGTCGTGTTTTAATTACATTTTCCCGGCGAGTCTGTCGCGGGGTGTGAGGAAGAGCGTACGCCTGTCGATGATCGAAAAGTAACTTTAAGACTAACTTTCTCACTTACCGAATCGGTTCATCTTGACATCAAGACATTTTTGAAAGCGGCATGCTTGGCACTGATTTCGTCTCTTTTTATCTACGACACAATTTCCATTCCCTTTGCAGGAATAGACCATATCTCTCCTTACGCTACGCATGAAGAACCCGCTACATCCATCACACGTGTAGACTCCATAATGACGACCAGAAGAAATATCTCCGCAAACTTTACAAAGAACTTCGGGCTTGCGTTCCACTGATTCCAGTTTCTTCGGCGACGGGTTTTCACGATCCATTTCGTGGTCTTCTAACGAATGTAATAGTCAAGACAAAAACAATGAAAAAAGTCATAAGAACTAACTCACGGGACACGAGTTTGTAAAATAAGAGAAACCATTTTCAGTTGGCGACGTACGAAGTAATTCCAGGTTTACTAAACGACAGAAATAATCTGTTTAAAGAAATCTTTGCTTCCGTGGAAATCATTGAGAAAAAAATTAGTTTCTCCACTGGCGTATTTAAAAATACTAAAATCAAGCGGGCTACCACCATGAAAAAATAAAGATAAAGTCTACATTTTTGAAGAGAAAACATAGGTATACCCTTGTATCGTCTTCCAGCTAATGGGATTTTAATTAAAAGTAAAACCCTTTAAGGACTCCAAACTTTTAAACTCACTACGTAGAAAAACTTCCGTAGCCTGTCAGTTTAAAATTCTTACGAATGAGCGCACTTTGAAGTCCAATCACCTCACCTACTATCGATGTTTGATGCTCTACGTCCATAACAAAGCTATGAATAAAACGGCTCGTTAAAATTTTTGGATTCTTCTTCTCGCGGTTCTGGCGTTTTATAGTCTCTTGCACACGTTGAAGGGGCTTTTGGACTTGTACATTGCCACCGCACCTTGTAGTTTGACTAGTCCAGCTGCCGCGCTAGTCACGTGACTTAAGAGATCTGTCATTGGTTAAAAGAGCTAATTAAAGTTGGTGGCCCAAATGAAAGCCCATGCATATCAGTAGCATTTTTGTAATTTAATCTGCTCATCAATGACTTTTGTTTGGGCGGTAAAGTGTTTTCGCAGCTTTTTTACACTTTTATTCGCCATCAAAACAATTAGCAATCCATTGCTTTGAAATGTTGATTCTATGCATATAGAATCTGAAGATAATATGCTCCACACGTGCTATCCAAATAAGTGACCTATATTCCCTTCATAGCAAAAAATACCTCGTTTGCAAAGGTATAACAGCGGATCTCAAATGCTTAGAAATGATTTTCCTTTAACGCATATTTTTTTAAAGCCCTTGACAAGAAACTATTGTTATGCTTTAATTACAGTATCATCGCATTCAAAACTGCTTGTTTTCTTACAAACGGCTCATATCACACCATGAAATTTAATTATCGGTCCGTATTATGTGTTTAGTGCGTTCAGTGTGAATACACATAATTTATGGCACGCGCCCCTCCATTTGAGTGCGGCCACGGATGGCTTTGACCCAATTGTAGTGGCTGACGCAGCTTGAACTTTTTTCTGGCCATAATGCGTCTCTGTTTGACAATCAAACAATTTTGAGGTAGTTTAAAATTTTGGACGAACCCAAGGTTAGTGACTTGGTTATATTGTTTTGAGGCACCTGCATCGCTTACCGCGTCAAGTTAAGATTAAATAATAATAGACAAGTGATTTTTTTTCACACTGTTGTCATAAGAATAGTTCTAATTGTGATTTGATTTAGAAACCTAGTTTCCGACAGTCAACAAAAACTGTGATGTTAATGAAGAATGCACAGACTTTAGCCTTGTGCTTCCATTGTGGCAAAGTACAAATCTTTAAAAACTTTGAATTGCGTTGTTGGTTATCACCGTCAAATTCGGCAACACTACAGGGCTGAGTATTCGTCAGAAAAGTTGCCCACAGCGCGAGTTTGGCGCTGTTGTCAACACGAAAAAGATAGTTTATCTATTACAAAATTAAATGCATTATTGATAACTGAGGAAATTTCGATACGGCTTCTAACAGGAAGAGAACGTTTTTAATCAATGCTTGCCGGGAAAATTAACGCGTTTTGCCACACAGAAAACATACTATGTTCCTTTAGTTCCGTTACCAGAGCTGACCTTCTTGGGTATTTTTATTAATGCAATTTTTTTTCAGAAATGAGATTAAGTCTGAGAATCTAGCTTCGGAATACCACTGAGTGGTTTCCTGAGATTGTTTTAACCGTACGCCACACCGATAAGATACTCATTTGTATCAGACCAATCAAACAAAACATAATTTTTCGAACGAGGAATTAGAGGAGGTTTTAAGCTAGTAAATACAATGAAACCTACACTGAGTGTTAAGAGGTCCGAATATGATTTGTCATTTCCAGATAAATAGTAAGGAATTATGAGCCGCCTAAATTAGACTTCAATGTTTTGACGATCGTCTTTGCCGAAGCAGATGGCAGAAAAGAATTGGCGTTTGTTCTTGAAAAAGTAAATTCAAATTTCCTAAAATTCGTCACTGTTTACTTTTCCACTCTTAGCCGGTCTTAGCTGAGATAATATGTTTCCTGTGGAGTGATTTCTTTGTTTTCTCTGGACAAGAGCACGTTTTTTAATGCGATTTTAATAAACGAACATAGCATAAATGTCATTCACAACAACATACGCGAGATGAAGCAATCAAAAACTTTTTTAATCCAAAGTTTGTGATTATTTACAAAGAGTTAAATAGCTGTCTTCAATTCAGTCTTTGTGGATAGCTTCTGATCTTTCATTTAGATTTTTGCACTTTGTTTTCTGTCGCACGGAAAAGAATTTTTGTGTTCTTTTGAACAGAGCCCGGATTGAGTGTATCGATATTGAAAAGTGGAGTATAAAAATTGTATCATTAACTTCCTTTAAACAACTTTCAATCATTAAGCGGGTCGCTAAATATCTATTAAAACACAAGTAGACCTTTCATTTCTTAAACGTACTGAATACTTCGCTGAACTGAGCTAAGACGGAAAATAAATTTTCGATACTAGCCCGGCTTTCCATTTTACGGAAGAGAAAATTGGAGTATCTTCTTTTAAAAGGCCCAACACTTTAGCCAGGAAAATGTTAATTGGCCAATTAATTTTTGGAAACATAGAATGGCAATTTAGGTAAATATAAATCTAAAGGTGATTGCTTTTTTGGGATGTTATTCTCACAAATTAAACTTGCCAAAAGCGCAATTTGATTATACTGAAATTGCTACATAAATTGGCATTTTAATTTTGAAACTTCAGTCATTTCAGCCCGTTTTACTACAGACTGTAAACTCTTCGTACCCGTAAGAATTTTCTTCAAAGATTTCGGGTATAAGTTAAATGACAATCGCATCGAGTTACATGTCGATCAGGATCTGCCTTGTGATTTGACCAGTGCAGTTGGAGTTGCAACACAATGTGGCAGGATTTTCAGCTGCCGCAGTTCCTCTTTTATTTCACCTTGTTTTCATTTCGTTAATTACCTTTCGTATTTAAAAGTGCTTTCCCTTTGTCTTTCGTTTTCTCCAAACACAGAACAAGTAAGATATTAAGTATTAAGACCTAATCTAATTTCAAGCGACTTTTTTTTCCAAGTATGCCCTAATCTTTTACCTTAAGGTATTACAGGTACAGTGTGTAAGATGAATAGGTCGTGTTTGTGCGAAAAATAAAACTGCGACAAGAGAGCAAAAGCCATGATCTTTTATCTCAAATATGATAAACGGAATAATTCGTTAATAATTCGTATTTATTCACCTTTTTGACTTTGGCCATATAACCTCGTTTACCTCCCAAGATGTGCTTTTCAATTTCCCTTGGGAAGACTGTAATGCCCAGAAGGGAATGGAAGGAATAGTTGAGCCACATTTTGGTTGGTAAACAAAGACTACTATGGGTAATGTGAAAATGATGAATCCACACATATAACACAAGTCTCAGTATAAATTTTGCACGGAATAAAGTAGAAAAGCGATAAGGAAAAATAAAAAGAAACAACAGTGATATGAAATGAAGCTGGAGTCAAGCCATGCAATAAGAAATACGTTTACAGGTAACGCGGATATCACAGTACACGACGGAAGCATAAATGATATCCCAGTATAAGTAACTTTACTGAGTGCTATCACATACGTAGGTTGACTCGGTAGACGTAATCAAGACAGGATATTACTGAGTCGAGTTGGCTTCATCAACATTCTCCTTGGGAATGAGATTTAAAGAAAAAGTAAGGAAGGAGAAAAAATACAGCTTAAAAATACCCCTGATTAAATAACTCACGTGTACAGCGAACATTTACTGATCAGATGAGGTCAAGTTTCGCTCTCCGCCTTCCAAACTTCCAAAACAAAATAAGAATAGAAGTATTGGTGTAAATACCACCACTTTACAGTGGCGATTGATATTCAATTTAATGCGCTGTGTTTGAATTTGGTGTCTTAAACACTGGAAAAAAAGATTGACTTTAAACTGAGTCAGACCTTGTCTGTTCGAGAGAAAACAAGGCACAGCTGTGTATAGAGAACTAAAAGGGAAGTTTTACGTCGACGACAGCAACTTCCTCGGTGAATTTAAACGGTATGACGCACTTATTTTTTGCGACTAGACATTTGATTCTCCTTGGCCTCAGTTTCTTTTGATTTACCTCTTTATATCTGGAACAGAGAAATCAAGGCGAATTCTAAACGAATGCCGATCATGCAAAGATCTGTTCTTATTTAAATCAATTACATATACGAAGACTTACTCAAAGACATTTTAACTGGGTCATTGGTCAGATTATTTCATCCGCGTCGAGAATAGACCGTCCCACCGTTTTTTAGGTACCAGTGAAAGTCGCAAAGTCTCGAAAAAATAACAGACATTTGCATGACCGGTGAGGCGCAAACTTGCCGCCCACTCATAGAAACGTCTGTAAAACTTATGCGAATTTGCGGAACTATATGTTCGTTATTTTTCATATTAAATCAGTCTCAATCAAAGAAACCTTTGAAAGTTTTCAGGCGCTTTTTGCAGCAGTGCCCACGGATTTTCGCCAACTATTGGTCCCTGTTAAAGGGCAGAAGATCTGTGGGATTGTTCATTACTCAAGGCGATTAAATGGCAGCGTTGCAAGCGATGTTGTTGGTGCACACATTTTACTGGGCTTAAGTCCCAGTTAGCCCCAAACTGTGCGTCGCATGTTCTTTTGTATAACGATCCTGTTGTGGAGGGTGGGGGGCGGGAATGGGTTGAATTAAGAATCGAGAGAGCGAGTCCGCTTACAAGCTCAGCGGCGTTTAGTCATGGTAACAAACTATATGGTCTCTGCCTAACCATTTAGTGATTCACTGATTCACTTCAAATCTGAGAAAGTCAACTTTCTCATAGTTTTAATCTACTCCTCAATTTTTCTTCATTACTAATGAAATCATCCAGGAATTCCAGTCACCAGTCGGTTAAAGGTGATCATAGGATCGCAAACTACATGAATTGTGGCATTCTAAAATCGAATAAAATCTCGAGGAGAGATTGATCAAAAAACAAAGCTCTTTACCGAAAGGACACTAGCTACCTGAGGCCAGTGGCTGTCCCTTTTAAACAGCTTTGCCGGAATTGTCAAAAAATTAACTGAATGATAATTGTAACTATATTGCTTATCTACCTCTTAAAATGTACTTCATGTTAAATGGCTACAATTAGAATTTTATCTCATTTTTTGTTATGATTTTTGTATTGTTTACTGACATTTCTCATATTTTAAAAAATCTTTCAAAAGGAAAAGGTAAAGGAACCACAGCTGGGCGATAATTAAAATAGTTTACAAATAGGACATTTGAATAAATACCCCCGTTGTAGATAAATTTTAATTAAATCAAAAAAGGCAATTTTATTATACGCTTTGTGAACTAAAATTGAATACTCCGTGCGTGTGTACCATACTTTGATTTTTGTAAAGGCCCATCCACTTAGCCTAATTACATATTTGTTCAGTCGCAGCCGTTGAAACCGTACACTGCCTGTGCTCACATTGGTCCTAAAATAGATGTTTAAGAAAAAGATAAAAAAGGAAATTGCCGGGCATGGCTAAATAAAAATATGAGCGAAGTGAAAGGCGGAAATATGTACTGAGATATTTTAAACTTACCAAAATAGATCGAGAGTAAGGGAAATGATTCTCAAATACGATATTTATTGCCTTACCAGTAGTTAAGGACAGCACGTGGGTAACTAACTTTTGGTGATTCAAGCGTCGGCGTTACAAAGCTCTCTTAAATTTTACACTTCCGTGTGAACACGCTCGACACGCGACTGGACCGTAACCCGTCCCTAGTGCCGATCACAAACTTGGGGAAATTAAAACACTGCCGGTAATGGAGCCAGAACATTTACCGCTGCGATAAGCTTTGAAATCCTCTTATCATAAATTATCACAAAGATACTGCTGAGTTTGTTGCTGTGACTTGTCAGGCAATATTCTCGCCGACAATCAAGCTCGCAGTCTGTCTGGCATTATGAAAGGCCTGAATACATATAAGTACACATTTTAAGTGGCTATGGGCGGCTTCATCAATTGGCAGAAGTGATTTATTGTACTAAATTGGCTGTCAAGTATCTTAGACGTGATAATCTCTTATGAACGGCAATCTGTATTATTAATCGTTAACGGCGCTGATAATAAACTAGAAGAAAAGAGCATTTTATTCGCACACTAACGTGAAAAACTGAATTCATTGAATTTTTTTCCAGCGTGGCTTGCTATACCCCATGAAAAGCTAAATTTTGCTGAATTAAAAATCGGTTTCAGCATTTTATGACTTGCGGAAAAAAAAAGTTTTAGACAATTTTATTCAATTTTCTAAGCTTTCGCAAACAAATCTGTATTTGATGAGTTAACGGTCATCTAACTCCGTCTTTGATGACTAAAGTAAGGCATATTCAATAGCTTTTTATTCCCAGTAAACATATGAAATCTTTCGTCAAAGACCTACCAGAGACGAATTTTAGATGAACTGTTTCCTTTACCGGCCGATCATGACGCTAAATAGCTAGTTTTAGTCTTAATTTTTTTTTAAAATGTCGTGTTAACTTCGGATTAGAAACTTTGTTTAGACGATGTATTTAATGTTACAGAACTGTGAAACTGTAAACTTCATTAAAACCACATTAAAACCTAACGGTAAAAGCTTTGGTTATTATTTGAGGCAAAAAGGCTTTCACTGTGTTCGTTAGTCGAACAAATTGGTTGTTCATGTGTTTTCCGTGAGGAACTGTTAGTAGACAATCACCTAATAGAATTTTTGTTCTTTTTGTGAGACAGTTTAGCGAATTAGGAAGTAGTTTTCAAAATATCTTTTCGAGCTTGTCAATAACGAAAAGAGACGTATTTAAAAATATTTCTCCCGTTGTACAAGGAGCAGAAGGAACTCTTCGACTAGTAATAAACGTTTCATTTATAGACAGTCGGTATTCAGTGCTCTGTGAAGGGATAGTTCCGGTATCGATGCACAGTTTCCTCTAAACCCGGCCACGATTCATTTTCATTAATCTTGAACGGCCGTTTTTACATGCTAGAGAAGTTTAAGTCGTCTTAGGACATCTTTAACCTAAATAATACAGACCGCGAGCGGATTTACCGTGTGCGTCGTTCACGCGCACTCAACAGACGACTTTAACGTCTCAGAGGGACTCTTCGCATGAGCCCGGTTATCGGGACCAATTTCGCCTTGGGTTCAGATGAGAAATTTCAGACCGGTTTCCAAGATTAGAAAAGGCCAAAGATCCTGGGGACGAGTTCTGACGCGAAGTTCTAGAAACAAAGCAAACATAGCGAAACAAAAAAATTATTAATAACTTTCGCGCCAATCAAAGTTTCAATCACACTTTTCGGAAAAAACGTCAACCCCGTTTTATTTAAATACTAGCATAGAACTATCATACTCAGTAAAAACGCTACACAGTAGCGTTTTTACTTGGAGCGTGTTCAAAAATTGAATTAATCGGAACCCGATGGATCACAATGTGGGGGGATAATGGTTTATGTTCACACCGCATTTTAATAATAACGAGGAAGACTCTTCATGGACTCTGGTTTGTTTTAATTTGAGTTAAAAAACTACTGAATCATAAATCTTTATTGGTATATTGATAACACTTGAAACTGACGCATCCAAATCTCCTTAGCTTGTGTAATGTTCACAACGTTGTGATCTGTGAAGTCAAGGGGATAGTTAAATGAGTCTGATATAAATTAATGTTTCCTTTCCTGGGGCTATAAAACAGGTAGTGTACAAACTTCAAAAACTAGCGAAAAAAAGGGACTTTTGAAATAATAAAAAAATCATTCTACCAATATAATAATTTTTGATGGCATCCGCACGGATTTAATATAAAATCTTAAAAAGGAGGGTTTGATCGGTCAAAAATCCGTCTATCAAAAACCTCTTAAAGAAAAACATATAGTTTTTTTTAATCAGTTTAACGTTTCCACATGTTATTCAGCACTTCCGATATGCTGGATTAGTTTGCCTATTAATTGGACCATATATAAATGTAGTTTATTTTACACCATTCGAGAGCTGTAAGATCACATGCACTTATTTTACTACAACTGACAAAAGCCTTTCATCCATTTTTAGGTATTGTGACTCCATCTTTAGCTGGACTTTCGAGAGGTTCGTCAACGATTCTCAGTAAACAGGTGATAGTTTTACCTACCTAGTATACTTCCCTGCAAGCTCCAAGAGTTAGCTGGTCAATAAGGCGATCGGCTTTAGTCAGAACCTCGTCAAATGAGCTCGACAGTATAACATTTTTACCAGCAATGTACCGAAGTTCACGAGTATCTACATCGTCTCCGACACCAATTGCTATCATGTGAACACCTAAAGACTACAAAGAAGAACGTTCAATTAAAAATTAGATCCCTTGAGGACGTTGCCGTCCCTTGTCCGCTGTGCATATAAACTCACTATTCATTTTTCCCTAGACCATAATGCACCTTGTTTACCCATCAAAACTTTCCTTAACCATTGTCTTCGATTTCTCTTGAGACTACTGTAATACCCAGGAGAAATTGGAAAGTCCTAGGGTGCTTTTACCGCGTCAGTGTTAGCTCATTCGGTAGAGCGTGTTGACTTCAGAGCGGGAGGTCGCGGGGTCGATTCCTTGGGCCGGACCAATACTCAGGGTCTTAAAATATCCGAGAAATGAAGGTACTCCCTTTGCACTGCAACAGGTTAGACCTTCGCGTGGCTCGGATGACCACGTAAAATGGCGGTCCCGTCCCGTCTCCAGTTGGAGACGTAAAATATAGTGTCCCCAATTAGTACTTTCGTGCTAAATAAATATATATATTTATTTTTGCTTTCCATTTTGCCAAATCAAACGGTCAGAAACCAGTGGAATTATCCATAAGAGAAAATGCAATGACATTGTTCAGTGGAAGCAAAGTTTCCAATCAAATCGAAGCGATCCAAATTTTGATTAATGCTACCAAAGTAGGTCTGGAAACGAGAATTTTTGGAAATGGTATGGCAAGTTTCGGTTGGACCGAACCGACCGGTCAAGAGCACCACCTCTGGAACTGGACCACTTTGTACAGAAAATTTCTACGCAGACCGAAGTGTTCCCTATATTTCTCGACCGAGATTTCCGACAATGTAATGTAAAGCACCCCTAGACTATCTGCGCTAGTGAGGTGTCGACATCCATGCTCCTATATAAAGAGGCCCTTCACCGGTTTTATAATCCATTTTAACTTACTCTAAGATCCTTGGAAGGTTGTATAACCTTATCGCTCCCTCCATAAGTCTTTCCGTCTGTCATGAGAATGCATGTTTTGGGCACACCTGCGCGGGTGGCTCCCTGGAATATTTTGTCCTTAACTTCCTTTAAAGCCAGTTGAGTGAAAGTAGAACCTCCTTTGTACCTCATCTTGCTGATTTTGTTTTTCATCTCGTGTAGAGAGTAAAAAACTGAATCTTCTAACATGAAGTCGATACAAACTCTATGGTCGAACCTCATTAGTGCAAACCTTAACGATCAGAAAAATAAAGAATTTGTATTATGTGCTTCTGAAAAAAAGAAAGACTTTTTCTTGCTATTAAAAAGGTTTGATATCATATTGTTTCTTTTTCGAATTTCCCTCTCGCAGTAATCCCGTTTGCTCAAAAAAGCTCTTAGTCTATGACGAGAAGGACTGGGACGATACGAGGAGCGGCGCGAGAGGAAAAACCAATCGGCCCAATAATCTGGCTTCAATTACCGCTTTACTTTTCAAACGTGCTCGCTATATATAACTAGGATAGAACCTCGACAGTAAGTTATTTTTAAGGAGTAGGCTAAATAGCATCTTCGCTGAAGTCTGACCAGTTTTTGATGATATTTTGGTTTGAAATATCTGTAAGAGCTTTTGCGATGAAAAAAGGGATTGGATCGATTGCTAGCCATCACACTTAAAAATCCATAAAAGGGTTTTCAAAACGACTTATCAATAACCTCTTCAATTTGGGTCGCTGAAACTTTAACTGCAGTCTTCGGGGGTCAGTGACATTTGACCCTTCTCAGTTTCCCTTTCAATCCCTCTCCATGACACTCATAGGGTAACAAATTCATTCCGCAAGTCCAACTGCACCCACGTTAAAACGGGATGAGGCTAGCAACCAACAAGTCATTTCAACTTGTGATTGGCCGGTATTTTTTCTTTCGAGGAGGCTCGGTTACTTTGCAGCTAAACGATCATAACAGAAATTTAAGGAGTTACCTGGTCCCGCTATCTGGAAAGTCAAAGCGGTCGACGAACATTTTGAGAAACTGAATCACTTTGTTGAAATTAACTTGCTTTACACTCCCGGATGTGTCGATGACGAATGCAACGTCTACAGCTTTCTGGCAACCTACAGGGAGGGAGCGGCGAATTACACGTGACACTTCAGGTGAGGTAAAAACAGGATAAATATAAAGATTTTTTACTGTAAAACATGTAAGACTCACCGTATCCCCCACCAACTGGTATTTGATACGAGAGGTTTTGCTTGTCTCTAAACTCATAGAAGTAAGCTCTGTAAGCTCTTCCTACGCAAAGTGATTTAGGATCTTCTTGTTCACACGGTTTGAACGATTCTCCCACACAATTGCCTTCCGAATCCTTCGGGTACCTTTTAGAAAGGGTAGAATAAAAATTGGCGATATTAATTTCAATCAAATGTCGGAGAATTGCAGCCTGAACAGTGATGCCTCATGGGCTGGTTTACTCAGACCTTTTGAGTTAGTATTTATCCTTAGCCTTCAGCAATTGTGGAAGGAGGCTGAGTATGATCTGATTACATTATGCAAATCAAAGAGCGTTTCACCTTGTTATATAATGCTTTTAGGTATAGAAATGCAGCTTTTTCTTCTGCGCAAAACGTTTGAAATTTTCTCTATTTTCTACAAATTGAAAACAAATGAGCAATTGTTGGTTTTCACATGAAGTCACTAAAATTTAAACTACAAAACTATGGATCCTACTGAGATTTTACTTTCATAATGTATTAGAGCAGCTGAAAACTAATTTTCATTCAAATAAAATTTTCGCTTCGAAAGGGTTCTTGGTTTTGTTATAGAAGAGTACGCTTAAAATATTTCTGAGCTTTTTCGTGACGCGGCATTTACGTGGCGGCAAAGAGAGCTGTCATACAGGTTGACTTATTTCGGGAAATTTTGTTATCTGAACAGCTCATGTATTAGAAAAAGTTTCACTTAATGTTTATGACCTCTTTGAGGGGTAAATTTACGTTTTTGTAGAAAAACTCGGTGACAGATGTTTTTGTTGGTTTCCGGCCGACATGTTGGTGCCGATGTGGATGGACTCTTGTACTTAGAATTGGTGGAATAAAGCAATGAGGACACAGGATGAAAATACGATTGTGTCTAAGACGCCCGAGATGTTAACTTACTTCTTGCATAAAATTACATGTAAGAGGCCACAGTGTTGAAGAATTCTTCAAATTTTTTGTATAAGCTGCGCATGAAGTTGTATGCCTTGATCTACAAAAGGGGCTAAATTGGCACTGGATCGAGAAGAAAAAGACATCAATTTATTTAGATTCAAATTGTTAGTCAACCATTTTAAAATCCAGCCATTTTTATACCCAGTCAAACTTGTGAACTCTCTCCAGTGTTTTTTGGTTCAGTTTCAGTTGTCGTCCTTCATGCTTGATGGTCCTCATCAGACACTTTGACGGTGCAGCGAAATCAACTTGGGCCTAACTGAGCTTGGATTGAAATCCTAAAGACGTGTTCTCACTGTACTTTTCATTGGCCTTTTTTGTGAACGTGACTTGTGATTGGCGGATTAATCTGATTATTTTAATAGGTGGTTCCCTCTGAGTTCTTTACACTGTAACAGTTTCAAATACTAGGATGTTACTGAATATAAGAATATATTAAGAACCAGTTTCTTGGTAGTCTATTTAATGCTTTACGGAAAGATATTTTTTGCATATTTATGCTAAAACGCCAATAATTATTTTGAAATAAATGCTACATGAAAATCTAAGTTTAGGAAAAAATTAGGCTGGTCTTTTGGTTAGAACCCGTTTAGATTTTGATTTTCTTGTTTTGACATATGACTCTGGACTTGAAAAGCCGCCGGAACGTTCGAGAAACGGACCCGAGGACACTGTGAGGAGGATATCCATTATTAGTAAAATCCAACTAGTGGCCTATTATCAATGCTTCGTTCTGATTGGTTGAGCTACTACTAGGCTATATGTTATAGCCCAATAGCAGCGAAAAGCGCGGGCCTTTTGGCGGCAAAAAAGGATTAAAGTCTAGCTTTAACTAGCTAAAAGCTTTTTATTCTCGATACTAAAACAATTATTCCTCTCGCCCTCATGGCCTCTGAGTCAGTAGCCCATTCGGCCTTCGGCCTCATGGGCTATTGACTCCGAGCCCATTCGGGCTCGAGGAATAATTGTTAAATACAAACACTTATGTCGGATAATAAAGAAACTGGCATGTCGCTTAAGCTGTTGATCGTTTTTTCTTATCAGCAAGGTCATTACCTTGGCAGTAGTTGACTAAGAGAGCCATTTCTTGCCCAGCATTCTCCGTAATATTGCAGTGCAAACCACTGGAGGTTTTGACGTCTAGCTTCTGATGCACAGCGGTTTGCTAAACTGAGAAAATTAAGGTGTACATCAAATTGTATGTGATCAGTTTTATGAGCATTTTAAAGGTTGTGGTCATCCCACAGAAAGAGACCAGACAAAGTAACATAAAGAAGCTTCCGGTCTATCAGCTATACAGGTTCCACCCTACTCGATTTCAGCTGATGCAAAGCTGGTGTCAGAGTGCTCAATAGAAGGACTAGAACGAGAATACTAGAAGTACAATGTTTTATCAACTGGAGATTTGACTAGGAATTTTATTACCATATAGTTTCGTTCTACACGATGGTGCAGCACTATCCTATATATTATTTATTTTATTATTTAAAAGGCGACAGGGCACTAGGCAATTCCATCCTGCGAAATTCATTCAAGTTAGTGCCAAAACAAACGAATACTAACACAGTTTTACTGCACGTACAATAAGAGACTGGAACTCTTTACCAAATAGTGTCATTGAAAAACAGTCACTGGAGGCCTTCAAAATTGCCGTCATGTGCCATCTTTAAAAACGCTGACCCAGGAACTTTTTTTCATCAACACTCAGGCACCATGGTTATATTTTAACATAAGCACATGCACATTTGCGCATCTGCCGTGATGGGATATACGTACCCTTGGCAGATTTTAACGATTAGAGAGTTAGAGCTTTGGTAAGAGCAGTAAACGTATTTAACAGAATTAAACATAAGACGCTCTCTTGGCTGTTTCGAGGTCACATCGCCATCTAGAAACGAAACTGTTTCCAGCCCGAAAGAGACTCTAATGTCTTTTTTTTGATTATGACACTTTTAACGGTTTATACCCACCATGCTATATATATTCACTACAAGCAGGAGCTGTCATGCTGGTATGCTACAAGACGTCAGTGACCTATCTGTGACTGAATCTAGTCTTAAGCTTATAATTCTGTTCTGTTATTAAAAAGATTCTATAGACTTTCAAAATGGCCTTCTCAGTTGAGCTATTTGCACTCAAGGTAGTGTAAGTAGAACTCATACCCTATATGTGTTATAAATTTATTTATTTTGTTTTATTAATAGTTTTATTATCATTGTTGTTTATTTTTCTTCATTTTTTACTTTATCCGATGCGAGTGAATGGCCTCATCTTATTATATTATTTTGTAATGTTGTTTTCCAAGGTTTTTTAATTTGATCATAGACAAGTCACTTCCAGGTCTAAGTCACTTCAAGAATATGAAAGGACAGTAGCTCTAGAATGGGAATTAAGTTTTTCCTTGGAATTATCAGATTGGATGAAAAGAAACATTAAACTTAAACGTATCGCTATGGTTTTCTCGGTAACTGTTGCCCACCCACCTCCTTACCTAAAGAGATAAGGCTGCCAATGGTTCCAGTTTATCCTGGCTTTAGAGGCTTGATTTCGATCGCTAAAGAGCAACACCATTTCTCTTGCGTAGTCTTTACGGCAACCTTTTTTGACCCAGTTGGCTCGTACGTTAAAATCTGGCAAAAAGACCACAGAAAACCCAACTTTTTTTTTTTTGGCGATATTTACTCCCCTATATCGTCAGTATCTATTGTAGATGTTTCTTGTCAGTGTAGACGCGATCGACGTGGCAGTTTATGATATGTGATACTCCGAGACAAAAAATTCTCACGCTTGTGCAGTAAAGCTTATAGTGAGGAGAACAAAATGTTTCTCATATCTTTATGAGCTTGATGTTAACTAAAACCCATTGAAAATATGTATTTCAATAGCACATAAAACTGAGTTTAACTACAACCAAAGGCAGTTCGTTAGCTGAGTAAATGACACCAAAGCCAGCTAACCAACAACCGTTTTCACCTACAATAACTAAAAACACTCAGTCAATTAATATCAATCCATTTAAAAAATATTCAGAAATATTAGCCAAAAATACTTAAAATTATAATTACCTGGCATTGCTGTTTGAGTTGTAAAGACGAAAGACGCTAGAAGAACCTGAAACCCTGTCCACCAATTACAAATTTACATAAAGTGAACAACATTGTTTAGAAGAAAAAATTGTTAACGTATTAAAAAAATCAGGAGTGAAATTACAGCATTTGAAGGGAAGGAAACACAATTTTATTTCGTGTTATGAGGCAAGGTGGAGAAGCTGTTCTTTCAAAATCTGAACATCTTTGTCACTGACTGACAAATAGCAACTTACATTTGTGCTGCATGTTTGAAAATGGCCTGTAGAGATCGGAAGATTGAGGAGATGATCGCGTCTTACCGGCTTTGGGCGGTAAGTTCCTGTTATTGCCGACGAAAAGCGTAACTTTCGAATAGTTACAATGCAGTTTTAGTATTATGCGCCACACAATCAGAGTAGTTAAAATCTGTTCTTCTTTTAATTTAAGAGACGGGTTGCCAAGTCTAAAGTAAAGCCATAGTAACCTTTTCTCTTAATATGGGCTGGAGGGGAGTTTAATAATCAAGCTGTTATATCATTTAAATACACAAATGAATCATTTGTTACCACTGGCTATAACCGGTACCTATTTCTTTTTACGGTATTGATCCTTTTCAAGAATGTTGCGATTCATTCTCTTTGATCAATTGACGTTTCTAAGTTACATACTGACTTTTCAATATCGATGCCTCAACTGCTTTGTAACTTTATATTAACTTCTTTGCCTTGACCTGAGAGTTCTTTGGTTCTATTCTTCGTTGTTGAAAGAGTCGTAATAGACCTTTTGGTAGCCAAAGAAATCTGGGAATTTTTTGAATAGAAAAGGTAAATTGTTTAAAACGAACATTGGACTAATATAACAGTTGCACAATGATTTTAATGTAGCTGATGCGGGAATGTTCCTCTTCCAAAAGACAAGTCGTGGAAGTTATGAGGTTCTCCCCTAACTTACAAATCGGCAGTAAATAAGGCCGATTCCTTTACCGATTAATGAATTGCTTTTTAGTACAGCACGGAGACAATTACCCTTTTTTGAAGTATACATCTGGCCTTACACAGTACAAGGTGTTACAAATCAACCAGACCTTACTGTGACAACAAGACTAGACCGTTAAGTAAGAAAAAGAAAATCCACTGAGCTAAAGTTCAACCAGTCCATTTTTTATGCAATTCATATCCGGCATCATATTAGGGCCAACCTGCCCGAAAACCATAAGCTCATTGTTTCATTTAAGGTCATCCCCCTTTGTTTCCCTTTAGCGTCGAATGCGTTTCCTGATTTTGGGTTGGTTGGTCGGTCGGATTAAAAAACGTAAAAAGAATTCACAAGAAGTCTGAGAATAGGAGGCCTGAAAACCCAAGATCATTGCCGTGAAGCCTGGAAACAACAAGACATAGTCACCAAATCGACACAAACTCAATATGGCTGAAAATATGATGGTTGATGTCCTAGTAAAAAGCAAAAAGGATATAAGATATACTAGATAAACGTCTATGCCTGACAATGCTGTTATAATGCTAATTTTCCAGATTAAAAGACTTAATTCAAGTCAAAAAAGGTTAAACTACGTCGTTCCCTTTTTTTCTTTTGGAAATGCCAAAATATTGGGTCTGCTGGACGAAGGTTAACGGAGTAAAAAGGGGATGGTCGATAAGAATCCATCCACAAGCTGGACCACCATTTAAATAAACGGGACAGAGGAAAATAATTAATCAAGCCCTAAGAAATGATTACCATGCTACCAGAATAAGACTGTCATTGAATGGGATGGCGTTTTATAAGGCTGACAGTTTATTTTGCGTGTTAGTTTTTTTCTCCTCGGGTACTTATATCCGTTAGTAAGGAGTGGCATAAACATTAAGAAAGATTTTCAGTTGTCTTTCAGTGAAAAGTAATGGCTGTCAAGTAATTAACTCTTTCGCCTTTTAGGATCACCCGGCATAAAGACAACCTAAAATAAAATCTGTACAAAGAAGTCTCAGCAAGAAGCTCCTGCTAAGAGTCTTTGTCAAAGTCAAAGTCAAAGCAGTGAAATTTTTCCCGAGAGATACTTGATTTCTTTTTCCTTAGTTCTTTCAGCAGCCTACAGAGCGTTTTCACTCACGTGGTTAGCATCTATGCAAATTTATTGAAACAAAAGAAAGCGTTTGCATAAGAATAGAGTTCAACTCCCACAGGATTGGTTTGGGACACCAACATGGCCGCCGTTTTATTGTTTTGGGACACCAATATGGCCGCCGTGACGTCATGTAAAAACACTCTATAGGGTCCTGGTTCATTTTTAATCCGTTAAATCCTGAGAGCGATTGGCATCAATTTTCTCCTAACAACAGCAATGCATAATCAAGTAGAAAGGTTACAAGATTTAATAAAATGATTACCAAAGGTCTTTAATAAATTCTCTTCACTCATTTTTCAAGGAATCTGTCCGGAGAACTGTTGTATGAGGATATTTAACAATTAATGAATGAGGCTGAGTATCTTATGAAGAATTATGGAGATTGAGGAGGGAGATATTCGTCGAGGCCGTAGGCCGAGGCGGATAACACCCTCCGAGATCTCCATAATTCTTCATATGATACAAAAGCCGAATTCAAAAATTGTTTTATTATTCATTCAAAATAATTCCTAGTTTAAAAACATGGCTAAAACATGCTTACCACTATCGATCCATCGATGTTAAGTTCATGTTCGATAGTGCACGTTTAAGGTTGTTTAGCTCAGCAAATATTCTCCAAATAGGAGATGTGGCCCTTCGAGTTGTCTTCTTGCTGTTCTTGCCATGTTTATAGCTATTACTTCGCCTAGTTCTTACTCTTGAAACGAGTGAAATGTCCGCCATTTTTGTTTTCACTACCAAAACAACTCAACCTCGTCCTCAGGTCTTCTTCGGTTAACGCTACATTAACCTGCAAGAAAGCTGCACTTTTGACGTCATCGGTTCATTAAACGTAAAATTCTACCAAATTTAGTCATCAGTATCTGGTTATGGTGAAATATGCATTTGTTTTTAGCCAATCAGAATCGGGGAAATATGTCGAATGAATAATAATGGAGCTTAATGGATAAAGTACTCAACCAAAGGATCACAATATAGTAAAAAGAATCCGCCCTATCCCGCTTAGGACTGAGCACCGGTCGAAAGCTTATCTCGTCCAGCGCCCTGCACGTATTCATATAGCATAAAAACGGGATAAGCTTACCATTCCCCTAACAGTTAACAGTTAACGGAATTGAAACTCTTGTATACAAGAGGAGGAGTTCTGGAAGAAATGAAGCCATTACTCTCTAACTCGTCCCTGTCAAAAACAGAACAACGTAACATTAGTAGAGGATGGCAAAGTTCTGACGGAGCCCAGTGAAGTGGTGGAGGTGTTCAACAACTAATTCGCGTCGGTTGCTGTACCGGAAACCCACCGCAGCAGCGTGGAGAATTTTAGTGATGACCCGAGTGTTCTTGGGATTGCGTCAAGACAGGTGTTGGAACACCCATTCACCTTTGAACCAGTAAGCTCCAGTTGTGTGAAAGAGATTCTGGATAATTTAAATCCACGAAGCATGTTGGCGCCGACGGCATCTCACCAAGTCTTTTTAGGCTCTAGGGACCAGTCATGGCTGAGGAGATTACACTCTTGATTAACTTTTTGATTGCTAATAGCTCTTCGCCAGACGAAAAGAGAACTATCGCCCTGTGTCGGTCCTTACGGCGTTGTCAAAGGTCTATGAGAAAGTTATGTACGATCAACTTTATAACACTTTCTGTCTCGCCACTTGTCACAAAACCTCTCTCGATTTCCTTGGTCTAAAGAACCATTCGTGTCCCACTGCTCTTCTGAAAATGACCGAGGATTGGAGGAGGAGCCTTGACAATAGAGAGCCATGGCCGTGGCTGTTGATTTATCAAAGGCTTTTGACTCAAGAGAGGATAAAGGGCACAGAGAACGCATCCGCCATACACACCCTATTCCATAGGTAATTCGTCTCGAGTTATTCTTAGAATCGGGATAAAGTTACCGCGCGCGCTGCGTGGATGTTTCGTGGAGGTTTCGCACGACGCCGTGGAAAACATGTCGGGCGAACGGCAATGAAAGCGTAAAGAGATCGAGAGCATTCCTGAATATTGAAGCGAAATGAGTCGGCGCTCACCTGGGAAAAGAGAATCGCTGGACTCTTTGACAACCCCTGAAATCAGTTTAAAACGAAGTTGTCGTAACCTCAGTGCTTTGATAAAATGAGAAATTTCGCAGGTCTATTGAAACCGGTCGTTTGTACAATGAAGCAAGTAGGACGCCAAGTGTTATTTTTGTTGAATAATAAAAGACTAATAAAAGAATAAATATCAAACCAGAATTTGCTCTCTTCATGCAAACTGTAAATTATAAATGATCCTGAGAGAATATTCAGTGTGTTAAGGATTTCCCTGCTGTACTGTTAGCTCCATAAAAGAGAGGAAGGGCGATTCTTTTTTTAATTTCCGTTTCGCTGACACAGCTTTAGCAGAGATCTCGCTGTAGTCGTTTTCGTCGACAAAACGAATAGCAATATCGCTCTCCGCGTCTTCCGCCATTTTGTTCTGCGTCAATTCGTGAAGGACTCGTGGCTCTGAGCGTGGGTCATCCACGCGGAACACATTCGCGCTATGTGATTGGCTGTTGTCTAATCCCGCTTGAGATCTGTGGTGTTAAAAATAACTCGAGACGAATTACCTATGGAATAGGGTGTGTATGGGGGATGCCTTCTCTGTCCCCTTTATCCTCTCTTGTTTTGACTCTATTAACCACAATCTTCTGTTGGCAAAGTTGAAAGCCTATGGTCTCTCTCAATCCGCCTTGAGTTTGATTTCATCCTATTTGTTCATCCTCTTTGCGTCATCCTATTTTGTTTTATGTCATCCTATGTCATCCTGTCCTATCATTTGTTTAAATATATATTTTTTGTTTTATTCTTTTGTTTACTTCTTCATCCCCTTGCCGTAAGGACCAGTTTGCCGTTTCATATTTTTCGCAAACAGAGGGTTTGTTTGCACGGTGTTTGCTCAAGTTATTCAGAGTTGAGGGCGGGGCTTCCACAGGGGTCCCTCCTCGGGCCACTGTTGTTTAATATATTTATTAATCACTTGAATTACGCGGTCCCGGCCGTGTCTTTGAGATTATACGCTGATGACACGACTCTGTATGCATCAGATGTCTCGCCCATTGCCCTGCAATTTGTTGTGAACCAGGGTCTCAGCCGCCTGTCGGAGTGGTTCGATGCAAACTATTTGTTGATAAACAATGCCAAGACGCAAGCCCTTCCGATCGGTCCCTGCAAGTACGATTTTGACTTAACTTTGAATGGTTATGGCTTTACCAAACTTCCTTCTATTAGAATCCTGGACGTGGAACTTGATAGCATGTCAAATTTTATAGAGCATATTTCTAGTCTGCTAAAAAAGGCGTATGCGAAGACCGGCGCACTTAGGAGAATTAGGCGTTTTGTACCTATGGACATTATGCTAGCATTATTCAAGTCTTTTATTTTACCCCATCTAGAATACTGTAGTTTCCCTGGTAGGGGTGGGGAAAGTCCAGGCCAATAAAACTGAAGACGCCAATCATTATATATTAAGGACACTGACGGGGCACGGGAAATCATCGTCTTACCAAGAACTCTTATTTATATGTAAGTTGGACACTTGAGAGTGTAAGAAAAAGCAGCAATCTCTGATCCTATTATTTAAATGCGCTAGGAATGTAGGGTTAAAATACATTAGAGACCTTTTTAGCATAAGAGAAACGTCTTACAATTTAAGAGGAAATGGTGTTAATCTTTGCGTTCCCAAATTTACTCTTAATTTTATGAGGAACTCTTTTAAGCGCGGTCAACTATGGAGTAAACTTCCAGAAGATGTCAATCTAGCCTCCCCCGCGGACGTTCTTAGGGGTTCGTCACGCGTTTCTGCCCGACTAACGTCTGCTGTTTTGAGCGGAAAAAAACGTAGACCAATCACAGCAGACTTCCAGATCTGAGAAGAGCACTTTGGACCTTGAGAAATTTCGCGCTTGACTTAGCTCCAGAAAAAATCAGAAAGGTCTCATGAAAGGTGAAGACCTTATAGTTTTGGAACAAACTACTCAGTTAACTCACAAGCGTTCGTACTAGAGGCTGCCATCACAATCTCATTGAAAAAAATTACCACGGAGGTTAAATTTGCTGAACGGAAGTCGGCTTTACCACAAAACAATAAAGTGTGAAAAAAATTCTGCCTTATGTTCAGTTACAAAGTAACCCCGCCGTTGCATCACCGAGAGAACAACTATATGAGCAAATGACATCTAATCCAGTCTTTACAGAGAGAAATATACAAAAAGCCAACGCTTGTCTTCTACATTCTCGTCCGGAGCAAAATCTACAAAGCTTGTACGTATGTGTTTGGCTTGTCAACACTTTGACTTCAACAGCGTCGATTGGATCTCCTATATCTGCGTGTCATCTCCAGCTGATATTTGCGAACAATGGGAAAGGAATTTATCTTCCGGTTCAGCAGATTTTAGTGGGGCAGGAACGCGTGACGAACCGCTAAGAACGTCTTCGTGGGAGGCTAATGTCAAGCTGGTCGATAATGTTAATATTTTAAAGTCTAAGCTAAGATCAATTCAGCTGTATTTTTTTATACTTTTATATTTTTCTGTAATTTTTATAATTTTTGTATTCGTGTGTACATAGATTATAGCTAGATTATATATGTAAATGTTTTTTTTGAGATTTAATGCACCAGGGGCACCCAACGACCGAATGTTTCCAAATACGCCAGAAATGTTTCAGATGGATTTCTCTATGCTTTAGAAGCCTGCTTGGTTCATTTGGATTACCCTAAAAACGTTTTATCTGTTCGGATGTCTCTTTAGCTCTTTAGGTGGCTTTTTCGTCTCATCCGAAAGTGTTAGCTACCCTTACGGGTCTGGTGGAAAGTTTGGGGACATGAACTAGCCTACAGCTTTCATTAGAAAATTATAGGGGACGTTTTGTCTTTATACCGAACGTTTTAGAAACCTTTTTTCACAATAATCGCAATACTTTGGTATTCAAATGTGAATAATACAACCTCCGAAAATCATAGTCAAGCTATTACAAAACCTCCGAATATTTTGGACGTATGAAACGGTTATCCAGAAATTTTTAGCTTTTTCCAAGCTTTAGAAAGTGCTAGGCAATATTTGCTCCTTCGAACAGTTATTTTACAGAAAAAAATCGCTGGGTGCCCCTGATGCACGTTCGTGTTTTGAACGAGCACTCGTGCTCTTAGACGATAACGTAGGTAAATAAATTATTGTATTGTATTGTATTGTAAGAAATTTTCACTTGAAAGGTGGTCAAGCATTATCTGTCTGACAGGTGCCTGTAGCAAGTGGTTGATGAGGGCCTTGCTTCTTCAAATTTTTTTAACGGGTATCCCGGCGGTGTATTCAAATAAAAGTGAATTGTGATCTAGGCAACACGCTATCATAGCAGGGATGTTGTTATGGCTGTAAGCAATACAGGCTCTAAAAACACGAGCATGGGGAAAAGATATGTTGAAAAGATTTCCTCGAGAAATTTACTCAAATTTTGCGCTTTTGTAGGCGCTATTTGTGTCTTTTTTCTCGGAGGTATTTACAAGAACTCAATTGATCTGTCTGACAATCAGAAATCAGGGGAGATAAAAAGTCGTCGTCAATTGCCGGATTTTAAATCCCAACTCTTGAATTCATTTAAAGCAGAAAACCTTGAGGAAAACTTACGGTGAGTGAACAAGGGGCACTCAACGAGAATATAGTTCAAAACCACTTAAACGTAGCATTGTTAAACGTATTTTAGCATTTAAACGGTAGACATACGCATATTTTTATCCCCTAAAAATTTTTCATGTCTTCAGATTTCCTAGCTGAAAGTCTAGTGATCCGAAAATTATAGGGTTCAAAACGTATCTTTTCGAAAATTTCAACGAGAAAAAAGGCTCCCGAAAATTTTAGGTGACCTTTTTAGGGTAAAGATCCGTTAAACATGGGCAATTATACCATTTTTTGGATGTTCGAAAATCCTAGGGGAGGCAGGCAAGCAAGAAATTTTACAAAAACTGTTCCGAAAATTTTAGATCTCAAATCGTCTTCCGAACAGATATTTTCCGAAAATTGACGTTGGGTGCTTTCGGTGAACAAGGTACATTGTGTGGGATTCATTAAATGCTGTTTCAGAAAACTGTTTTTAACGGGAATTTGTTTGTTATGAATGGTGTGTCTTAAAACTGACTGACCCATTAAGAAGAAACGTGATGTTGATTTTGACATTTTTGTTTTGCTTTACTTCCAGATATTTTTCTCAAGAGCCGCATTTTGCCGGTTCGAGGCGGAATAATGACTTGGCGCGTCATATTGCCGCAAAATGGAAAGACTATGGTTTTGATCAAGTAGAACTGACTCGATACGATGTTTTGTTGAATACACCACGCAAGGATTTGAAAAATAAAGTGGAAATACATCGAAATGGCGAAGTTGTGTTCGAGGCGCAGCCCTATGAAAAGGCAAGTGACAACATTTGTGTTTATTTCAGTGCTCTGTACTAATATTCACACAGATAACTGAATTTAATTCTAAAATGGGGGCGGGTGATGGAGGAGGGGTGAGGGACGGCGGGGTGTTGATGTTTGAAAATGTGGTTTGTCAAGAGACTTGTTAGATTCTCGTGGTAAACTGATCGTTGACTCTGTGGCGCCCGGCAAGAGTTGGTTTTAAGGTATGAATAACTTTCTAAATAATATATATTGTAAAATAATCACATAATCTGTGCTAGTCTAATCACCGCATTGTAGTCAGTTTTGTCTTAACCACTGGCCAAGAAACGCGTTCAGTTCCAAAATAAAATGTGTTTTCTCATACCCCGTCAAAAACGCCTAATTTCACACGGTATAAAACGCAATTTCCGTCAGAAAATCTCTACTTTAGGCATAGCAAGAATTGGAGCCATAACCTGTTAAGTAAACACAAAGAAATAAGAATTGTTGTGATAAACCAAATTTACTCCGAACGGACTTAACGCACAGTAAAAATCTACAGGTGAAAATTAAGGGATTAAATGGGTGGAGTCATAAAATGGCCGAAAATGTTGCGATTCAAAAACCCTCTAACGGATTTTTTCAAATCTTACCAAGGTAAAGACAACGCCTGTCTAAACTATTACTACACTAGAAGATTTTAACAGATTATTGCTAGATTTTATTATACTGAATTTCGAGAAAATACCCAATTCGTAGATTTCATGTCAGTTTGATTCTGTTGCTCTGGAAGTGGTGATGTCAGCTAAAGATACTCTAAAATTAAGTTTAATGTTGGATACGTTGTTTTACTTCAAGACTTTTTCGTACATGCATTACAGCCAAAGATATGAAGCATCAAAAACAAAGGGGCCAAGAGATTATATAGAAAACGCCAAGTAAATAATGGTAATAATAAAAACAGGCGAAACCGACCAAGCTTTGTCAATATAGGATTTGTGTACGTGCGAATTCGAAAGAAAATTGTGTATGAAGGAAACGGCAAGGTATGCAATCCGGGCAAAAAGCTTATCCTTGCGGAAAGCCAACCAAAACACAGAATTCTTTTCATCTAACCAACCTCTTGCCTCCGGAGCCGGAGCCAAGCCATGTAATACCTTCTATTAGTAATAACTATTAAAAGAAACTGTATCGCGAAATTTATCAAAATTCAAACTGAGGGAACTGCCACCAAACTGCGTAAAACATTAAAATAACAGCTCTAAACGTTGAAAGAAGGTTTTAAATGAAAAAGTTAAAAAATACTGAAACGGAGTGCAATTGTAGTTTTTGATAACTTGTTGCATCATGATTGGGAGACATTTTTGTTTACCCCTACCCGTGATTTTTCGAGAATTTGTCATTCACAAGGAATCTGCCCAGTTCCATAGCGAATAAAGACGCTTATGGCATTAGAATGAACTATACAAAAACAGCCATGACACAGCCCAATTTTAATTAAGTTGGTTTGTATATCCAACCATCCTGGAGGCCGATTTAGACGGTACGATTTTTGCTTACGACTATCGCGTGCTACTAACATACGTCATGACTTCACTTTAGATCGTGTCTTGTAAATTAGACCCACGACAACCGGACGACACAGGTAGATTTGTAAGTGAAAACTGTGCGCGTGTGGATGGTCGAAAGTGATGACGTATGCTAGTCGCGCACGATAGTCGTAAGCAACGTACCGTCTAAATCGGCCTTAACACAGGCATCATATCATGTTATGACTTTCCTAAAGGCTCTACGAAAAGACGAAGTAAAAGGTGAAAAGATTCCGATTTTCCTCGGTTTTTCACCAAGTGGAAAAGTGAAAGGAGAAGTGGTGTATGCCAATTTTGGGACGGAAGAAGATTTCGGAAAGCTGAAAGACTTGGACGTGTCTGTAAAGGACAAAATTGTTATCATTCGCCAGGGAAGAATTTTCAGGGGTAATAAGGTACGTGGTTTAACCACCCACCCCCCTCGGCCTCCGCGAGTACTGAACTAAATATGCCTTCTACTGAAAAGTGATATCCTTTCACGTACCTAGTAGAGGACTTTGCATTCCTTTCTGACTGGAAATGTACTCTCTTTAAAATATGAATAAATCACAAAACCAGAGCGTTTCTTCGACTTCTTACAGCCATAAAGTAAATCGTTAGCCCTTGTGGTATTTTTTACAAACCGAGATGGACAGATTTGCCTACCCTCAGATATACTTCAACTGCACTGTAAATCCGAAAGATCTGTTTTTAACCCTAGAAAAGGGCCCGTTTCGGTAAGTAAAATACAGTTCTATTTTTGAGTCTAATTTGGCTTCCTTAAATCAGGGCCAATAGAGTCCAATTATCCAGGGCTGATTTGGGCACGAATAGCCTTGTGATTGAGCTTTTTTGGCCTAAATTGTGCTCCAATCGCTCCAGAAAGGGCTGAATCAGACTTTGGCCTGCCGTTCTGAATTGACACTTTGGGACTGAAACAGATCTTTTTGATTTTCATGTTGTGAAATCCTAACCCTTTCATACATCTAAGGCCCAAAAAAGGTACCCTTTTCGGGCGGAGCCTTAGCCTAAGAAAACAGCCGACATTCGGTGACGCTATCACTGGTTTCCCCGGCAAATGTCGTCTGAGAAACGAGCGCAGAAATTCCATACTGACGACGCGTCACTACCCATGCAGAACTGGATAGTGCTTCTGATTGGTTGAATCAAATTTCCCACGCGGCATGACCAATCAGAAGCACTACCCAGTTCTGGTTAGTGACGCGTCATCAGTATGGAATTTCTGCGCTCGTTTTTCAGACGCCATGTGGCGGGGAAACCAGTGGTAGCGTCGCCAAATGTCGGCTGCTTTCTCAGGCTAGCGGAGCCTCCCCGTAAAAGCCATTTGATTACGGGAATCGAACCTGTCGCTATGGCTTTTCCCTCAGGAAGCAGGATAGATGGGAAGAGTTAAAAAACAAACAAACAAACAAAAAAACAACAACAACAACATGCAAAAGTTTAATTTTAGATATGCGAAGTTGAGCTTTTCATTATCCTGTAAAATATACTTAGTCGATGTATTGATGCTTAGTTAAAGGTTTTCAAAGATTTCAAATAATCAAACATTTAGTTGGGAAAACATTCAATTCTGACCCATGCGGCTCTCATAACTATTTCCTCCGTTTTGAATCACGAGCCAGATTAATGAGCTCGAAATGAAATTAATATTGTCTGTTTGGATGTTACAAAAAAGTGTGGTTGTTTGCATGTTAATTATCATAACTGTTTATTTTTCTATTTTACAATTGACTGATCGCTGTTGGTTTTGTCATCATGAATCATCATTGGTTGTATATGACGACTAAACTCATTGTTGTTAATGACAACCAGCGTTGTTTTCTTCAATTACAATTTTGAAGGTCTCCAACTCTGCCTTCCACGGTGCGGCAGGGGCCATTATTTACACTGATCCAGCACAGTTTGCACCTGAAGGAACCCAAAACACTTTCCCTTATTCCTGGTGGCTTCCAGACTCCGGCACCCAGCGTGGGTCATCTATGTGCGGGGCGGGACCTGGCGATCCACTCACTCCAGGATACCCTTCTATTGATGGCATTTACAGAAACAAAATTGACAAGAGTGGCTTACCAAAAATTCCTGTTACTGCAATGTCATACAAGGATGCCAAGGAGATATTGCGTCGAATGAAAGGTAATGAACTTCAGGCAACTAATTAGTAAAGATCGAAAAAACACACAAAATGCAAGAAGCTGTTATCAATGAAGCAGACAAAAAAAATCAATGTCACCACCTAGACAATATTCCATTCCTTTTGCGTGAGTTCAATTTTAGCACCATAATTTTTACATAGTATTTTTTTGAATTTTCACGCATTTCTGCAGTCTGGCAACAAACATTTTTTTTTGAAAGCGGTACAATCTTATTGCTATTCGTCCATTTGATTCCCACCCTGCAATCCGGCGCTCTTAACCATAAGCAAGCGGGCTTTCTTAGGGCTCTCTTTGCTTGGTTATCTGTTATAATAACTGTATTTCATCAAATTACCCCACTATGAACCACACCTGGTTGACCTCTGTCCTGTAAGGAATTCTGCGTGAATACCTTGGCCCGTTATTGTCATTCTTTGCAAGGCGTTTGTAGTTTCTTCTGGGCGGGTGCGGTTCTCTTTCACTGTCTTGAAGACTTTTGACTCTTGAAGGCCGTTTGTTTTAAACTCCTACAGTGGCGTGGAAGCAATTTATCATATAATATCATGGGTGACAAATTAGTTCATAATTGTGACGAGTAATTTCAGCGTTAATTTTACACATGTGAAATTACAAAATTGCCAATGTAACGTTTAGTGCGTCTCAGTGCCAAGATGGTGTCAAGGTTAAAAATGTTATGAATGGAGATGTCAGGGAGATGTCAGGCACCATAATTTTCATAATTCGTTAGGTTTAATTACCACTTATTAGGCATGCATGGGTGTAAAAACATGAAAATTCCTTTCACAACCCTGAGACTCTAAAACCTCTTTCCGCTGGAGGGATCATTTAATGAAAAGTATGATGATAATTTACTTTTGAAGGACCCAAGGCACCAAAGAGCTGGCAGGGGGGCCTGGAACTTACTTATCATCTGGGGCCCGGGTTTTCGGACAAAAACTTGTCACTCCATTTGGATGTCAACAACAAACTGGAAACTAAAGCTATTTACAACGTCATTGGTCAAATCAGGGGGTCTGAGGAACCCGATCGCTATGTGCTTGTCGGAAATCACCGAGACGCATGGGCTTTTGGGGCAGCTGATCCGAGCAGCGGTACATCTGTGCTCATGGAGTTATCACGTGGTCTAGGTGATTTGCTAAAAGCAGGATGGCGGCCGCGTCGGACTATGTTTCTTTGCAGCTGGGACGCAGAAGAGGTCTCTGTCGTTGGTTCAACGGAATGGGTCGAAGAAAACGCTCACGTTCTTCAAGGTCGAGCGGTCGGTTATCTCAATACAGACGTGGCAGTGAACGGAAATTTCAGCTTAAATGTTGACGCCTCTCCTTTGCTTCAAGATGTGGCCATTTCCTTGACTAAGGAAGTTTGTGATCCTACAGTTCCACGCACTTGTAGAAGCATGTATGATGTCATGTTAGAAAGAGATGTTACTAAACATGCCAACGGCAAAGCAGTCTGTCAAAATCTGGCTCATGGCAGTGACTACGCTGCTTTTTATCACTTTATTGGAGTCTCCTGCGCAGATTGGTCGTATATCTTTGGAGGCACGCACGGAATAAGGCGATCTTACCCAGTTTATCATTCTATACACGACACGTTTTTTTGGATAAAGAAATTTGTCGATCCCGAGTTCAAAACACATCTCGCTGTGACGAAATACACGGCTATTTTTCTGCTGGAATTATCCGACTCAGCTTTGTTACCTTTTAATACGCAGACTTACGGCGAACTTCTTCAGTCTAAAGCTAATAACTTGAAAACGAATTCTCAGTTTCCCGTTCACAACATCAGCACAGATGCATTCATTCGCGCGGTGAAGAACTTCGCGAAAATATCCCGCGAGTTTGAGAAAAGCAAGGCAAAAAGCAGTAAGAAGGAATTTCGTACTCTAAACGACCAGATGATGCAAGTTGAAAAAGCGTTTGTGCAAACAATAGACGAGAACAATCCTAAACAGTTGAGGCATGTTATTTTCGGGCCTAATGTTGCGAACCAATATAAAGGAGTTTACTTCCCTCGGGTAAATCATGCCATTGAAATGGCAAGAAAAACGGGAGACTGGGAATTAGTTAAAAAGGAGATTTCAGTACTGACGCATTCGATCAATTCTGCTGTAAGCGTTCTAAAACGTATATGAAAAAAATGTATGATAAAAGTGAATAATAGAGGTGTCTTATATTGTTTTTTCTTCTCATTTGTTTCAAAACGAAAGCACAACAAAGAAAAACGTACCAGAGTTCGAAATCGCGCGGTATAAACATAGCAGCAAACATGTACAGCAGAAACTACTAAATGCTATTTATTCCAATCCTACTTTATTCCACTTACTTCCTGTAAAATATGGTAGAAAGAAATATAGAAAGAGTACTTAGACTTTTATATGATTCGAACTCAATTGTTCCTTTGCCACTAAGTTTTATGCTTCAATCCAATGTTCTAAGAGGGATGTCAATATGCTGCAATGACAAATAATGCGTCGAACGCTCGAAAAACTGCATATATTAAGAGATTGTAATAAGTAGTAAAGAATACAGCGAGGGGACAGACAAAGGCAACGATCCACTTTTGCTCTTAGGCTTCCATCCTCTGTTCACGTGCTTCTCACATGATTTCTGCTTGCTCTCACTGAGACACAAGGCGTAATCCATCACGTGAAATACGTACTGCTGTTCCACTACTCCATGAAATAGGTAGGCACCACGTCCTTCTGCGAATACGCCAGCGAAATAACAATGATAAGAATAACAATATAAAGATTTAGCCAGAGTTAAAAGCAAAGCCTCCATTTATATACTTATCATAAAAGCAATTAACCTAATATATATAATTAGCAATAACCAAAGGTTACGGAGAGCGGGCGACACCGATCGGTAACCTGCGATCAGGCGATTTTTTTATTAACGCTCCTGCTCCATCGCTGGGCTTTGCGTAAGTTTCACGTGGCAGATGTTCAAAACACGCGTGATTAAATTACGAGTGAGGTCCAAAGGCGCGTGATCAAGTTGCATTTTGTGCATTCCATACCTACATACATGCGAGGCATGCGCAGTAACAACACGAAGATTAGGATTTGCGGGCTCCTCTTGTCGCCCGCAATTAAACTTAAGCCACTAAAAAAAATCCTCCTTTTTAGGGATCGGAGGGACTGGGTGATATCCCGCAAACACGCCTAAAATGAAATCTGTTCCATCAAGCTAAAAGTCTTATATTTACCCGGTGTTTACAGCAAAAATAAAAAGAGAAAAAAAAAATCAATCGTTTTAATGCACGATACTCTACGGAAGCAGCCAACTTACAGGTTGTGAGTGCTAGAGTCAAGTTTCTGGCTAAATATAAAGGAAAGATTTAAAGTAAAAATCTGGCCGACTTATGTGTTCGCCGTAACTTTATTATGTTTTCGGCTATTTATCGGGCTCGGACGAACAGTTATGTGTATAGCCTTTTTAACATTTGTACGTTACCGTTTGTTTTATTCGATGACAGACCTAGGACAGTAAATACCTTATTTGACCATTTCGGCTACCACTGTTGAACGGGCGTACAGCCACATGGCTACCAAATTTTCTCGGAATTATAGATAACAAATTTTCTTAGCTATGGGGCTCCGCTAATAATAAAGTCATTATCATCATCATCAAAACTATAAGATATTCGCTGATTCTGATCAGCTACGGCAACCATGCTTTCAGGATCAGAACAGTACACCTTTTGCCCACGTAAGTATTGGACAGAACCCGCCACTTCCGGTAATAAGCGCTCGAGGTTCTTGATTTTAATGTTTTTAAAAAGTTCAAGTTATCACAATTTTTTTTATAGCCGTTACAGAACTTCCTGTCGTCCACTTCGGTTGGTAACCATACTAGCGATTAAAAAGATTGGACTCCCGCGTTGACTGAATAAGATTCAACTTATCAGAATAAGCCTAATCATAAACGAAAAAAGTGAGGAAACTGAAGTACAAATGTTATTATTTTAATTTTTAAGAAGCCCTGTCTTGTGTGAAAGCCTCGGCTCAGAGTGGGTCTAGAGCAAAGGAAACCCAGCATTTACATTGCCAAAAATTTGGGTCGGCCGGACGAAGCTAAACGGAGTAAAAAGGGAATGGCCTATAAGAGTCTATCCAAAAGCTATAGCTGGACCACCATTTAAATAAAGGGGAAAAAGGAAATGACTCAAGCCCTACAAATGGTTACCATGCTACCGGAATAAGACTGTCTTTGAAGGGGATGGTGTTTTATAAGGCTGACTGTTTATCTTGCGTGTTTTTTTTTTTTTTATTCTCCTCCTTTTTTAGCCAAATTCGTTGCATCACGCTGCGCGTTTTGGTTCTGTTCCGTCAATCATGTGGACCTCTTAGGAGACACCTGCTTACTTGTGATTGGTGCATTTCGATCCACTTCGTTTGTTTCTGTGGGCGCTTTCCATTTACGAAAAAAACCCGGAAATTTCGGTGGTAGCAAAAGTGGAATTTCCGATCGGTAAAAAGTTGTTCCATTTGGTCGCAAACCCCGGTACGTGGCCGGGTGCCCGACCGTGGACCTGGAACTGGTACAAACTACAAGAAACGTCAATGGAACACGACATTCCGTTCGGAAATTCCAACCGGGAAAACGGGACCACCTTTTTAGATTTTCCACTTTTTCTGGGAATTTTCCAGTGGGACGAACCGACGCAACGTGTTCCATTTACCGCCGAACCGGAAATTCCGGAAATTTTGACTAAATGGAAAGCGCCCTGTGTTTCGCGGTCCGCCGCTTGTGATCGCCCTGTTTCGCATTGTTTCGGGCAATGATCGACTAGTTTTCTTCGAAGCTTTTCATGATCTTTCTTATTCTTGTCTCTTGCAAGAATAAAGCAATGTCTGCCTCCTGCCCTCAACAAAAATTCCTCTCATCATCGCGATTTCCTTTGCTATTGTTGAGCAGTTTAGGGTCATTCTCAATTTTGTATTTGCGGGCCAAGCTGGGCGAGAGCGTTGCATTGTGATTTGCATTAACTCCAACCCCACTCAAATGATTGACGGAACAGAAAAACTCATTCGAAGTTTGAAAACACGCAGCGCGATACAACGAATTTGGCTATAAATGACGCAGTACTTATATACGTTAGTGTGGAGTGGACTAAACCTTAAAGGATAAAGTACTCATCCAAAGGATCACAATATAGCAAAAAGAATCCACCCTATCCCACTTAAGACTGAGCACCGGTCGAGAGCTTATCTCGTCCGGCGGCCTGCACGTATCAAAAGGGATGCGCTTACCATCCTCCTAACAGTTAACAGTTATATGCAAGAAATAATCACTTGAAAGGCGGTCAAGCATTATCTGTATGACAGGTGCCTGTAGCAAGTGGTTGATGAGGGCCTTGCTTCTTCAAAATGTTTTGACGGGTATCCCAGCGGTGTATTCAAATAAAAGTGAATTGTGATCGAGGCAACACGCTATCATAGCAGGGATATGTTATTATGGCTGTAAGCAATACAGGCTCTAAAAACACGAGCATGGGGAGAAGATATGTTGAAAAGATTTCCTCGAGAAATTTACTCAAATTTTGCGCTTTTGTGGGCGCTATTTGTGTCTTTGTTCTCGGAGGAATTTACAAGAACTCAGTTGATCTTTCTGACAATCAGAAATCAGGGGAGATAAAAAGTCGCCGTTCATTGCCGGATTTTAAATCCCAACTCTTGAATTCATTGAAAGCAGAAAACCTGGAGGAAAATTTACGGTGAGTGAACGAGGAACAAAGTGTGAGATTCACTAAATGCTGTTTCAGAAAACTGTTTATAATGGGAATTTTGTTTGTTATGAATGGTGTGTAAATAAACCCAATGGGACTTGAAACTGACTGACCCGTTGAGAAGAACCGTGATGTTAATTTTGACAATTCTTTTGCTTTACATTCAGATATTTTTCTCAAGAGCCGCATTTTGCCGGTTCGAGGCGGAATAATGACTTGGCGCGTCATATTGCCGCAAAATGGAAAGACTATGGTTTTGATCAAGTAGAACTGACTCGATACGATGTTTTGTTGAATACACCACACAAGGATTTGAAAAATAAAGTGGAAATACATCGAAATGGCGAAGTTGTGTTCGAGGCGCAGCCCTATGAAAAGGCAAGTGATACTATTTGTGTTTATTTCAGTACTCTGTACTAATATTCACACGGATAACTGAATTTAATTCTAAAATGGAGGCGCGTGATGGAGGAGGGGGGAGGGACGGCGGGGACTGTTGATGTTTGAAAATGTGGTTTGTCAAGAGAGTTGCTACATTCTCGTGGTAAAACTGATCGTTGAATTAAAGGGACTCTGTGGCACCCGGCAAGAGTTGGTTGTAAAGTATAAATAACTTCATTTCTAAATAATATATATATTGCAAAATAATCAAATAATCTGTGCTTGTCTATTCACCGCATTGTGGTCAGTTGTGTTTAGTTTTGTCTTGACCACTGGCCAAGAAACGCGTTCAGTTCCAAAATAAGATGTGTTTTTTCATACCCCGTCAAAAACGCCTAATTTCAACGTCATAAAACGCAATTTCCGTCAGAAAATCTGTTCTGTAGGCATAACAAGAACTGGAGACATAACCTGTTCAGTAAAAACAAAGAAATTAGACTTGTTGTGATAAACCATATTTACTCCGAACGGACTTAACACAGTAAAATTCTACAGGTAAAATTTAAGGGAAATGGGTTCAGTCACAAAATAGCCGAAAATATTGCGATTCAAAAACCCTCTTATGGATTTTTTCTCAAATCTTACCAAGGTAAAGACAAGGGTCCAAACTATTAAAACATTAGAGGATTTTAACAGATTATTGCTGGATTTATCATAATTTTGAGAAAATACCCAATTTGTAGATTTCAGTGGTGAGGTCAGCAAAACATAGTCTAAAATTCAGTTTAATCTTGAATACGTTGTTTCACTTCAAGACTTTTTCGTACATGCATTACAGCCAAAGATATGAGGCATCAAAAACGAAGGGGCGAAACAAAGAGATTACATAGAAAACGCAAAGTAAATAATGGTAATAGTAGAAAGGCGAAACCGACTAAGCGATTTGTATGCGGGCGAATTCGAAAGAAAATTTGTGTATGAAGGAAACGGCAAAGTATGAAATCCGGGTAAAACGCTTATCCTTTCGGAAAGCCAACCAAAACACAGAATTCGCTTCATCTAACCAATCTCTTTCACAGATTTCTCTCCCGCTCGTCTTTCATTCCGTAGGGACGATAGGAGAGGACTACTCTGTGAACGAGGTTGTCAACTTGTCAAGGAGCCACGCCAAATAATACCGCCTGTTAGAAATTACTGTGAAACTCACAAAACCGTGAACACAGGAAATATTTATGGAATGTTATTGTGTTGCGAGAAATAAGCCAATAAGGCGCGAGATAACTAAACCACAAACAGCAACGGTAATTAGTTTGTGGTTTTAAGGTTTGCTTGCGTATCCTGAACTTTATTGTGATTGGCCAGTGCACAATCAACATTCCTGAAATTTTTCAGGTGTTCACGGTTTTCTGAGTTTAACAGTAAAAGAAGCTGTATCGCGAAATTTATCAAAATTCAAACAGAGGGAACTGCCACCAAACTGCGTGAAAAATTTATTAAAATAACAGCTCAAAAAGTTGGAAGAAGGTTTTAAATGAAAAAGTTGAAAAATATTGAAAAAGATTGCAATTGTAGTTTTTGAAAACTTAGTCACTATAACAGTTTTTCAAAGTTCATTGTTGTTATTTGTATCGTTTGAAATCATGATTGGGAGACATTTGTGTTTACAACTTCCCGTGATTTTTCGAGAATTTGTCATTCACAAGGGATCTGCCAAGTTCCATAGCGAATGAAGACGCTTATGGCATTAGAATGAACTATACAAAAACACTATGACCCAACCCATTTCTAATAAAGTTGGTTTAAATATCCAGCCATCCTAACACAAGCATCATATTCTGACTTTTCTAAAGGCTCTACGAAAAGACGAAGTAAAAGGTGAAAAGATTCCGATTCTCCTCGGTTTTTCACCAAGTGGAAGAGTGAAAGGAGAAGTGGTGTATGCCAATTTTGGGACGGAAGAAGATTTCGGAAAGCTGAAAGACTTGGGCGTGTCTGTAAAGGACAAAATTGTTATCATTCGTCAGGGAAGAATTTTCAGGGGTAATAAGGTACGTTCTTTACCACCCATCCCCCCCGGCCCCCGCGAGTACTGAACAAAGCATATGCCTTCTATTAAAAAATGGTACCTTTTCACGTAGCTAGTAGAGAACTTTGCATTCCTTTTAACTTGTAATGTACTCTCTTTAAAATATTAATAAATTACAAAACCAGAGCGTTTCTTCGACTTTTTACAGCCATAAAGTAAATCGTTAGCCCTTGTCGGATTTTTTAGAGACCGAGATGGACAGATTTGCCTACGCTCAGATATACTTCAACTGCACTGTAAATCCGAAAGATCTGTTTTACCCCTAAAAATGGGGCCGTTTCGGTGAGTAAAATACAGTCCTATTTTTGAGTCTAATTTGCTCCCTTAAATTAGGGCCAATACAGCGCAATTAGCTAGGGCTGATTTGCTCCCAATGGCTTGAATGGGCCCCAGCGTGGGCTCGAATAGATAGCCTTTTGATTGAGCTTTTTTGGCCTAAATTGTGCTCCAATGGCTCCAGGAAGGGCTGAATCAGACTTTGGCCTGCCGTGCTGAATTGACACGTTGGTGCTGAAACAGATCTTTTTAATTTTCAGTGTTGTGAAATCCTTACCCTTTCATACACCTGAGGCCCAAAGGTACCCCTTTCGGGCGGAGCCTTAGTCTGAGAAAACAGCCGACATTTGGCAACGCTACCACTGGTTTCCCCGGAAAATGACGTCTGAAAAACGAGCGCAGAAATTCCATACCGACGACGCGTCACTACCCATGCAGAACTGGATAGTGCTTCTGATTGGTTGAATCAAATTTCCCACGCGACATGACCAATCAGAAGCACTACCCAGTTTTGGGTAGTGACGCGTCATCAGTATGGAATTTCTGCGCTCGTTTTTCAGACGTCATTTGGCGGGGAAACCAGTGGTAGCGTCGCCAAATGTCGGCTGCTTTCTCAGGCTAGCGGAGCCTCCCCGTATAGGCCATTTCATTATGGGAATCCAACATGTCGCTGTGGCTTTTCCCTCAGGATGCAGGATGGATGGGAAGAGTTAAAAAACAAACAAACAAACAACAACAAAACGCAAAAGTTTAATTTAAGATATGCGAAGTTGAGCTTTTCATTATCCAGTAAAATATACTGAGCCGATGTATTGATGCTTAGTTAAAGGTTTTCAAAGATTTCAAATAATTAAACAATGTTTAGTTGGGAAAACATTCAATTCTGACCCATGCAGCTTTCATAACGATTTCCTCCGTTTTCTTTCACGAGCCAGATTGATGAGCTCGAAATGAATAAATATTGTCGGTTTGGATGTTACAAAAATTAATTTAAAGTATGGTTGTGTGCATGTTAATTATCATAACTGTTTATTGTTTACCTTATCATTGACTGATCGGTGTTGATTTGTCATCATGAATCATCATTGGTTGTATATGACGACTAAACTCATTGTTGTTAATGACAACGAGCTTTGTTTTCTTCAATTACAATTTTGAAGGTATTTAACTCCGCCTTCCACGGTGCAGTGGGGGCCATTATTTACACTGATCCAGCACAGTTTGCCCCTGAAGGAACCCAAAATACTTTCCCTCATTCCTGGTGGCTTCCAGACTCCGGCACCCAGCGTGGATCATCTTTGGGCGAGGCGGGACCTGGTGACCCACTAACTCCAGGATACCCTTCTATTGATGGCATTTACAGAAACAAAATTGACAAGAGTGGCTTACCAAAAATTCCTGCTGCTGCAATGTCATACAAGGATGCCAAGGAGATATTACGACGAATGAAAGGTAATGAACTTCAGGCAACTAATTAGTAAAGAAATAACACACAAAATGCAAGAAGTTGTTATCAATGAAGCAGACAAAAAAAATCAATGTCACCACCTAGTCAGTAGGCCATTCTTTTTGCCCGAGTTCATTTTTCACACCATAATTTTTATATAGTATTTTTTTGAATTTTCACGCATTTCTCCGACATTTCTGTAGTCTGGCAGCCGAATTTTTTTTAAAGATGTACAATCTTATGGCTATTCGTCCATATGATTCCCAGCCTGCAATCGGCGCCCTTAACCCTTTAAGAGGCAGTCTCCCTAAAAGCGGTCCACTCGATTTCGCGACAAAAAATACTTTTCCTTTATTTTTTGTCGGTGAAGAGGCTTTAGTAGGTGTATACTAAAATCGCTATTTTCGTTTTCAAATTCTTATTCTTAGCTCTGCTACAAGCCAAAAACGAATTGAGTCCGTCTCGGCTTCTCAGAGAGTGTTTCGAAGACTAAAATTGATGGATTTTGAAAAGCGCGTTGTAAACAACCGAATGCCCGCACAAAAAATCTGTTCGATTCAGTTTTTTTAGTTAACCTTCGATAGTTCACAGGCTAAATAAAAATATCTTTGATCAAAACGTGTTCAAGTTACAGTGGTTCAAAGAACCTATTTTGCAGGCTTGATCGAAACCTTGAAAGTAAGGAAGATTTGAGGCAAAATATCTCAAAAGTTGCGGCCTAAATCTGGTTTAAAAATCATATCAAAGTAAAGTTTTAAGCTTATTTTTTTGGTTTATAGGCTCAGACTTGCGGGTATCTTCTGGGATTGCAACCAACAGTAGATTATAATCTGCCATTTTGCGTATTTGCATAATTACAGGCCGTGTCAGATGTCATGATTGTACAGGTTAAAAGTTCCATGAAATTGCCTCTTTTGACACTTGAATTCGTCTCTGGCCTCTAAAAGAAAGTAATTAAGCTTCTTTAAGTACTTTTGAATCGAAAGAGATATACTAACAGGGATGGTCATGCATGTTACTGATTACCACGATCAACTGGCGGGCGCCATCGTCTTGTAACTACCTGCACTGAACAGTAAACAATGTTTTTAATAGAATTCTCTAGATCAGAAGTTGATCCAAGCTCTCTAAGTAATGAAACTAAATATCACTACCCCGGGATACAAAACATGCACAAGAAAGGCAACGTAGAATTTTAAGTTCTTTCCGCAATTTCAGAGTGAATTTCACCGCGGTGCATATAAAAGTCCATGAATTATTGTAATAATCAGGCTGTTTAAAAACGTTTGACGCACAACAAAAGCAATTAGTCATTTACCGTTTTACCTGTTCTCGGTAAATAAGACGCTTACCTTTACCTTAGATTCTTGATGGAAGAAGTCTATTCAGGCAGCTGAAGTTAGGCAGTTTCGTTTCAAAATCAAATCATAGCGTGATAGTGTCACGTAATGTTATGGTCACGTTTGTGATAACGAAATTTCTGCTTCTCTCTCTCGAAAAAAAGCCCTAATTGAATGAGTTTTTCCTCCTTAAGTTGCACAAAATGCATATCACACCATGGAATTTGTATTGGTAGTGAACCATTATTTTCACGGCATGGACTCCGCCCTTCCATATTTTCAGGCCCGGCCCGCATAGGAGGGGTGAGGGTGGGGGACGGTGGGATACCAATATACCCGCTTTTGTCCTCATAAGATACCAATATAGCTACAGATTTGTAAATGTTTGATACCGAATGCCTGAAATTACCTTGAAAAAGAATACTATATACCTAAATAAGGTATTTCAGGACTGAGACAGACCGTCCAACCCATTTTATTTATCCCAGAATATAGTATCAGCGTCCAAGGACAAGGAGCGAGCCGCTACGGGCGGGGTAAGGCGGCATGCTCCCCCAGAGACGCCATTTCTATAGTGTTCTTAGCCTACGTAGCAGGCCCTTGAAAGTAGTGAACGCAAGAAAGAACGGGTGTCTCCGCGTGTCTCTCTCTCGCGCGTCCGTTCTTTCTTCCACCCACTACTTCCAAGCGCCTGCTACGCAGGCTATGTGTTCTGACAAGGTCCTGCCTTTGTTTATAATGCTCATACAGAGCCCACTGCGCCTGTCCTCAACTCTAACGACTCTAGGAAATTGTAAAGCTTCCGAAGGTACATTATCCTTAAAGCTCGCATTTGGACCCGCTCTATTGTACTAGGCAGATGGGCAGGAAGGGCGTTATATCAAGCCACGCAACATTGTACTCTAGGACGGAACGTAAGACAGCGACGCAGATAGCCGCAAGGTCCATTGCACCAATTTCCTGGGCAACTCCCCCCCCCCGTCAACCTGTAATCAAAGATCATTTATCTATTTATTTTATTTGGCACTAAAATTCCGTAAACCTGAACAAAATCTAGCCGAGATACCTGAAAACCAAAAACCCCCGGCTAGACCTCTCTCCTTTAGAACGTCAAAATCACGTAACCCGGATGTCAACAAGACGTCACATTAAAATACTCTACATGGAAACTACAAGACTCCCTGTAGGTGCATTTTTAAAGACTATTACATCCGTTCTTTGGAAACGTTTTTGTCGTACTAACTATTTTGGCCTCTTATATGGGACATTCTAAGTTGACAGCATAAGGGATTAGAGACCAGGTAGCACAGGCCACCCCACCAGGTTCCTAATCTCAATTGTTGCACATGCGATTTCACTTCTTCAAGCAACAAACTTGAAAAATAGGAATCAAATTTTGCTCTAAAAATTATGCTTTGCCAAGCCCAAGAAATGAATTCACATGTGCAACAATTACAATTAGCGACCTGGCAGGTTGGGGCAAAAGGGTCGGTAGGTCACCTCTCTAATTCTTTATACTGTACGTGAATGTTAGAATTGTACCACATAAGAGGCCAAAATAGTCATTACAAGAAACTGGTTTGAAATGAACGGATAAAAGAGGGTTCAAAAAATGCACCTAAAGCCACCCTTACACCTCGTTGGCATACTAACGTGATTCTTGAAAACGTTTAAAAGGTAGGGATCAATATAGCCTGCAAGGCGTATTTTGCTGTGTGATCAATTTGAACTTTCGATTGACCGGGAGTTGGGGGGAGTCAAAAAGTGATTCCAAGGGAGAGGTTGCCTGCCATCCTCATCGGGTCGCGCGATATAAAAAAAAAACAAAAAAAAACGCCTGGGCGAGGATTAATAAGGCCAGTGGTACCATGCCGTAGAAAATGATTCATTACCAATACAAATTCCTTGGTGCATTTTGTGCAATTTAAGGAGGAAAAACTCATTCAATTAGGGCTTTTTTTTCTGGAGAGAAACAGAAATTTCATTTATCACAAAGATTTTGGCCGCCGACGGGTTACGTAGCCACGTGACCATAACATTACGTGACACTATCACGCTATGATTTGATTTTGAAACGAAACTGCCTAACTTCAGCTGCCTGGATAGACTTCTTCCATCAAGAATCTAAAGTAAAGGTAAGCGTCTTATTTACCGGAAACAGGTAAAACGGTAAATGACTAATTGCTTTTGTTGTGCGTCAAACGTTTTTAAACAGCCTGATTATTACAATAATTCATGGACTTTTATATGCACCGCGGTGAAATTCACTCTGAAATTGCGGAAAGAACTTAAAATTCTACGTTGCCTTTCTTGTGCATGTTTTGTATCCCGGGGTAGTGATATTTAGTTTCATTACTTAGAGAGCTTGGATCAACTTCTGATCTAGAGAATTCTATTAAAAACATTGTTTACTGTTCAGTGCAGGTAGTTACAAGACGATGGCGCCCGCCAGTTGATCGTGGTAATCAGTAACATGCATGACCATCCCTGTTAGTATATCTCTTTCGATTCAAAAGTACTTAAAGAAGCTTAATTACTTTCTTTTAGAGGCCAGAGACGAATTCAAGTGTCAAAAGAGGCAATTTCATGGAACTTTTAACCTGTACAATCATGACATCTGACACGGCCTGTAATTATGCAAATACGCAAAATGGCAGATTATAATCTACTGTTGGTTGCAATCCCAGAAGATACCCGCAAGTCTGAGCCTATAAACCAAAAAAATAAGCTTAAAACTTTACTTTGATATGATTTTTAAACCAGATTTAGGCCGCAACTTTTGAGATATTTTGCCTCAAATCTTCCTTACTTTCAAGGTTTCGATCAAGCCTGCAAAATAGGTATTCTTTGAACCACTGTGACTTGAACATGTTTTGATCAAAGATATTTTTATTTAGCCTGTGAACTATCGTAGGTTAACTAAAAAAACTGAATCGAACAGATTTTTTGTGCGGGCATTCGGTTGTTTGCAACGCGCTTTTCAAAATCCATCAATTTTAGTCTTCGAAACACTCTCTGAGAAGCCGAGACGGACTCAATTCGTTTTTGGCTTGTAGCAGAGCTAAGAATAAGAATTTGAAAACAAAAATAGCGATTTTAGTATACACCTACTAAAGCCTCTTCACCGACAAAAAATAAAGGAAAAGTATTTTTTGTCGCGAAATCGAGTGGACCGCTTTTAGGGAGACTGCCTCTTAAGCCCTAAGAGTGATCAGCACCAAATTTCTCCTTGTAAAATCAATGCTTTGTCAAACAGAGTGGTCATGATCACACAAGATGAATTGGCTTGATATTTTACAAACTTCTCAGCACTATTTCTGTAAAAAATGAATAGGGGCAACAAATGAGAATTCAAATTTTCATGTTAGGGTTTAAAGGGTTAACCATAAGAGGAACCGAATATCAGGGGTCGAATGAAAGGTAATGAACTTCAGGCAACTAATTAGTAAAGAAATTGCACACAAAATGGAAGAAGCTGATATCAATGAAGCAGACAAAAAATTAATGTCACCACCTAGACAATATTCCATTCCTTTTGCGTGAGTTCATTTTTCGCACCATAAGTTTTACTTTTTACATAGTATTTTTTTGAATTTTCACGCATTTCTGCAGTCTGGTAGCAAATTTTTTTTTTAAAGCAGTACAATCTTATGGCTATTCGTCCATTTCATTCCCACCCTGCAATCCGGCGCCCTCAACCTTAAGAGCAAGCGGGCTTTCTTAGGGCTCTCTTTGCTTGATTATCTGTTATAATAACTGTATTTCATCAAATTAACCTACTATGAACCAAACCTGGCTGACCTCTGTCCCGTAAGGAATTGTTTAGTGAGTACCTTGGCCTGTTATTGTCAGTTTTTGCTAGGCCTTTGTGGCGTCTTCTGGGCGGGTGCGGTTCTCTTTCACCATAGGCGTACGGGCAATTTTTTGCCAGGGGGGGCGGTAATCCATTTGCCCAAAAAATTCTTGCAAGTTGCCCAAATTTTTACAAAACAGTCGAAAGGAAACTAGGGCCATGCAACAAAATAGGCCGTACTGGCATATGAAAGTGGCTCGATACAGTTTTTCAGAGTCAATACCTGCCAAGTTTGAGCATAAACTTCGTCGCCATAAACAAGCATTTGGAAAAAATTGACACCACAGTTGTATTAGATAAAGAGGGAAATTTGTCATGATCAGGGTTGCAATGACATCGGAGCTGTCATAGCAATGAAATGACGCCATTACCTTATTCTACTTGCAGCAATATTTCTCACTGGTAACTGTTCTTACAAAATCGTTCAGGGGAGCTCTTTCCTCCAATAGTCGCCTCGATGTTCGTGAAGTTAAAACGGAACTGTAAGAGCGTTATCGAGATATTTTGGGATGAAGTTTTTATTGTTAGAAATAAGGTAAAAAAAGGAAAATCTTGATGTTTAGTCGCAATCAGAAGAAAAGGAAACGCTTTTAACATGCATTTTCACCTCATTAAAAACGTGTGTGAAAGATCATGGAGATAGCTCCTGCCAATTGCTATAAAGAGGGATTTGATAAGCGCTCGATCTTGTTAGGGGTTTTGTAAACATTTCGGTCTACTTAAACAAATTAATGAATAATTTTTAAACCGCTCGATAGATTTTTTCAAAAAAATTATGATTCTTCTCGTAATTCAAACTGAGAATTAGTCAGCCACTTCTTCACTTTCAGACCCATTGCTGATGCGTGTTCTGCCACAAACTGTTCTAGGAGCGGAGGTGATTCTAGAAAGTTATGCGGAAGTTTATTCTAATCAATTCACGACTGGAAATAGCCTATTCTAGCTCGTGCAGTGAAGTACATAGCCTGCGAAAACATCCGTTTCTCCTCGCTCTTCGTCGCTGAGGACGTCGCACGAAACGTCCTCAGCGACGAAGAGCGAGGAGAAACGGATGTTTTCGCAGGCTATGAAGTACAGTGCCCAACAATAAAAAAAAAAACCGCATATGATACCCTTCCCTTATAACCAGAAACTCATCACGTGCTAGGCAACCACTGTCTCGTGTGAACGTAACTGAATTATTACTCCGACTTCTGATTAAAATAGGAAATATTTATCTCTTCAAAATAATAATAAAAATAAAAAACATGGAAACGTCTTTAAAAACTGGCTTTGCCCAAATTTTCTCTTGCTGTCCAAAAAATCTGAGTTACCCAAACTTTGGGGGGGCTGCAGCCCCCCTCGCCCCCCCGGCCCGTACGCCTATGTCTTTCACTGTCTTGAATACTTTTGACTCTTGAAGGCCGTTTGTTTTTAAACTCCTACAGCGGCGTGGAAGAAATTTATCATGTAATAATCATGGGTGACAAATTACGTCATAATTGTGGCGAGTAATTTCAGCTTTGATTTATAATTACACACGTGAAATTACAAAATTGCCAAGGCAACGTTTCGTGCGTCTCAGTGCCAAGATGGTGTCAAGGTTAAAAATGTTATGAATGGAGATGTCAGGCACCCTAATTTTCGTAATTCCTTACGTTTAATCATTCCTGGGTGTAAAAACATGAAAATTTCTTTCACAACCCTGAGACTCTAAAACCTTTTTATGTCGGAGGTATCATTTAATGAAAAGTACGATGATAATTTACTTTTGAAGGACCCAAGGCACCAAAGAGCTGGCAGGGGGGCCTGGAACTCACTTATTACCTGGGGCCTGGGTTTTCGGACAAAAACTTGTCACTCCATTTGGATATCAACAACAAACTGGAAACTAAAGCTATTTACAACGTCATTGGTCAAATCAGGGGGTCTGAGGAACCCGATCGCTATGTTCTTGTCGGAAATCACCGAGACGCATGGGTTTTTGGGGCAGCTGATCCGAGCAGCGGTACATCTGTGCTCATGGAGTTATCACGTGGTCTAGGTAATTTGCTAAAAGCAGGATGGAGGCCGCGTCGGACTATATTTCTTTGCAGCTGGGACGCGGAAGAGATCTTTGTTGTTGGTTCGACGGAATGGGTCGAAGAAAACGCTCAAGTTCTTCAAGGTCGAGCGGTCGGTTATCTCAATACAGACGTGACAGTGAACGGAAATTTCAGCTTAAATGTTGACGCCACTCCTTTGCTTCAAGATGTGGCCATTTCCTTGACTAAGGAAGTTTGTGATCCTACAGTTCCACACACTTGTAGAAGCATGTATGATGTCATGTTAGAAAGAGATGTCACTAAACATGCCAACGGCATTGCAGTCTGTGATAATCTGGCTTTTGGCAGTGACTATGCTGCTTTTTATCACTTTATTGGAGTCTCCTGCGCAGATTGGTCGTATATCTTTGGAGGCACGCATGGAATAAGGCGATCTTACCCAGTTTATCATTCTATACACGACACGTTTTATTGGATAAAGAAGTTTGTCGATCCCGAATTCAAAATACATCTCGCTGTGACGAAATACACGGCTATTTTTCTGCTGGAATTATCCGACTCAGCTCTGTTACCTTTTAATACGCAGACTTACGGAGAACTTCTTCAGTCTAAAGCCAAGAACTTGAAAACGAATTCTCATTTTCAAGTTCACAACATCAGCACAGATGCATTCATGCGCGCGGTTAAGAACTTCGCGAAAATATCCCGCGAGTTTGAGAAAAGCAAGGCAAAAAGCAGTAAGAAGGAATTTCGTACTCTAAACGATCAGATGATGCAAGTTGAAAAAGCATTTGTGCAAACAATAGACGAGAACAATCCTAAACAGTTGAGGCATGTTATTTTTGGGCCTAATCTTGCAAACCTCTATGGAGGAGTTTACTTCCCTCGGGTAAATCATGCTATTGAAATGGCAAGAAAAACAGGAGACTGGGAATTAGTTAAAAAGGAGATTTCCGTACTGACGTATTCGATCAATTCTGCAGCAAGCGTTCTAAAACGTATATGAAAAAAAAAATGTATGGTAAAAGTAAAAACTAAAAAGCTAGAGGTGTCTTATTGATTTTTTCTTCTCATTTGTTTCAAAACGAAAACATAGCAAAGACAAACGTACCAGAGTTCGAAATCGCAGGGTATAAACAGAGCAGCAAACATGTACATTCAACAGAAACTACTAAATGCTATTTATTAAGTTCCTATTCTACTTTATTCCACTTACTTCCTGTAAAATGTGGTAGAAAGAAATACAGAAATGATACATTTTAAGATTAATTAGACTTTTATATGACTCGAACTCAATAGTTCCTTTGCGGTTAAGTTTCAGCTTTAATTCAATGTGCTAAGAGGGATGTTAATATGCTGCGATCACAAATTATGCTTCGAGCGCTCGAAAAACAGCATAAGAAATTGAAATCAGTAGTAAAGAATAGAGCGAGTGGACAGACAAAGACAACGCTCCACTTTTGCTCTTAGGCTTCCCTCCTCTGTTCACGTGCTTCTCACATGATTTCTGCTTGCTCTCACTGAGACACAAGGCGTAATCCATCACGTGAAATACGTACTGCTGTTCCACTACACCCTGAAATAGGTAGGCCCCAGGTCCGTCTGCGAATACGCCTGCAAAATAACAATAATAAGAAAAATAATATAAAGATTTAGCCAGAGTTAAAAGCAAAGCCTCCATTTATATACTTATCATAAAAGCAATTAACCTAGTGTATATAACTAGCAATAACCAAAGGTTGCGGAGTGTGGGCGACAACGATCGGTAACCTGCGATCAGGCGTTTCTTTTTTTCACGCTCTTGCTCCATCGCTATGCTTTGCGTAAGTTTCACGTGAGAGATGTTCAAACACGCGTGATTAGATTACGAGTGATGGAAGGTCCAAAGGCGCGTGATCAAACTGCGTTCTGTATACGTGCATTCCATACATTTTTAGTGGAAGTCCAAACGAATGCTGGCTGCATACATGCCATGCATTGGTAGTAACAACCTGGAGATTATGATTGCTGGCTCCTCTTGTCGCCTGCCATTAAACTTAAGCCACTAAAAAGAATCCTCCTTTAGAGGGATAGGAGGGGCTGGGTGATATCCCGCAAACACGCCTAAAATGAAATCTCTCCCATCAAGCTAAAAGTCTTATATTTACCCGGTGTTTACAGCGTAGATAAGAAATAAAAATAGAAAAAAAAGTAAATCGTTTTAGTGCGCGATACTCTGCGATAGCAGCCAATTTATAGGTTGTGCGTTCTAGAGTCAATATTTATGGCTTCAATTATAAAGGAAAGATTTAAAATAAAAATCTGGCCGACTTTTGTGTTCGCCGTAACTTTATTATGTCTTCGGTTTTCTATCGGGCTCAGACGAACAGTTATGTGGATAGCCTTAACATTCGTACAGTCACAGTATCTAAAACACATATCACTAGAAGTTACCGTTTGTTTTATTTGGTGACAGACCTAGGACAGTAAATAACTTATTTTTAAAATCATTTCGGCTACCAGTATTTAACGGGCGTACGGTCATGTGACTACCGGATTTTTTTAGGATAATAGATAACAAATTTTCTTAGCTATGGGGCTCCGCTAATAATAAAAATCATCATCGTCATCATCATCATCATCATCATCATCAAAACTATAAAATATTCGCTAATTCTGATTAGCTACGGCAACCATGCTTTCAGCATCAGAACAGTTCACCTCTTGCCTATGTAATTATTGGACAGAACGCGCCACGTCCTGGTAATAAGCGCTCGAGGATCTTGATTTTAATGTTTTTAAAAAGTGCAAATCATCACCAATTTTTTTGCAGCTATTAGAGAACTTCCTGTCGTCCAATTCGGTTGGTAACCATACTTGCGATTAAAAAGATTGGACTTCCGCGATCCGTCTAACCACTCTTACGATTATTGACTGAATAAGATTTAACTTTATAAATCACAATCATAATCTTAAAGAAAAAAGAGAGGAAACTGAAGTATAAATGTTAGTATTTCCATTTTCAAGAAACTCTTCCTTGTTTTATCTGGGATATAAGACGGGGAAATGAAGCAATTGCAAGGCAAACAGGAGCTGTTGTAGTGTTAAAAAGGAAACTTTAAGTTGGACTTATTCTTCTCAGAAAAATCATCAATATCAGTACCATGGCAAAAGTTTTTGCGCGAGGTACTGCTCTAAGTTCCGAGCGCTTTAACAGACGACAATTTTTTGCTCCAATTCTCACCAACATCTTCCGATCCATGACTCTCGCTTTCCGCAAGGAGAACTGTAGCCTGCTGAAGAAAGTCCTTGTCAGCGGTGTCTACACTGCGCAGGTCTTGACGAGATCCGTTCAGTCCACCTGGTCCGTCTGTATACCCAAGGGTGGTCTATGTTCTGTTCTCTGTGTCCACAGATAAAGTATTGTCTACCTCTTGTATTATACCAAACACAGGGTTCCCACGTTTGGGGTATCCGCCGATGGTAAAGACGTGAGAGTGGTCGGCTGTTACTGTTATCAGTGTTTCGTCTGAAGATCCAAGTAATAGTTAATAAGATTAGCAAATGCGCGTTTCAAAAGTACAGTACATTGCACAGTATTTGCATAGAAATATGGCACTTTTTTTGTTCAATCACATAATGGAAAGAGAGATGCGTTACTACTCTCAACACCCAACGGGGATAGACGGTATTCGGTAATGTAAAAAAACCTCCATAACAGAAGTGAAGGTTGCATGTTTTCTTAATTATTTCTGGAGCAGTCAGTAAGAAAATAGTTCTCGCAATATTCAGGCGTCCGGGATGAGAAGCTAGATCGCATAATAAACTTAGGCACCGCATTCTTGGAGACGAAGGAAGGGAGTTCAATCGAAGAGTTTGAGGCAGTGTCGGATCCAGGGGAAGGGCCGGGGGAGCGGGCCTTCCCTTATTTTTAGACCAAAATGAGACCGGGCGCCCCCTTATCTCAGAGTCTGGATGGATCCTCCACTGAGACGGGCCTTTCTTGATCGTAGAAATGTGTAATGAGGAATGACATGTCAAAAGTAAAACAATGGTCTATACAGTTAACCCAGCTCCTTTATTTGTGAATTGGTCTGTCTCTTCAATCAATAAAGATTTAGTGAAGAGAAACCCAGATGTTAAGGACCTTCTTTTGAGGACAATAAGGGACAGCTTTTATGCTGGTATAATGGGGGGATTCAGAGAAATGGTAAACAGAACGATAAAATGGAGAGGAAAAGGTGTCGTCCCTTCCCCACAAATTCTCTTGAGCGCGATGAAACTCCTATTAACAGGCCTGATAACAGTCTTAAAAAATAAAGACTGTCTATGATCGGCTTCTTCTTGATAAATGGCAAAGTATCACAGGCAAACTGCCAGTTACAGTAAATGAGTTTGAAATCGTTATCATCCAATGGAAAACAAAAACACAGATGGTATGCACTTGATAAAAAACAATGGGCAATGGTTTACCTTTGTTTACAATTTCCAAGGCCTTAGCAACCGCTTTATTCATTGCAACCGCGTCATTAAGAGCTTTGACAGCCTTGCCATCGTGATGTCCGTGATCAATGCGGCCCCCTTAAAACAGAACACGAGAAACGCGTCTTTTTAAAGAAATAGCAATTGTGGGAGACGAACCGGTCTTATTTCACCAAAAAGTAAAATCATTCAGGCTTCTAATAATACCAATTATTATTCATTCAAAATATTTCCCCGATTTTGATTGGCTAAAAGCACACGTTTAATTCACCATAACCAGTTAATGATGACCAAATTTGGAAGAATTTTGACTTTAACGAGGAAATGACGTCAAAAATGCAGCGTTTTCGCAGGTTAAGGCACCGTTAAGTGGGAAGACCTGGGGACGAGGTTGAGTTGTTTGTTGGTTGTGAACTTGAAAAAATGGCGGAAATTTCACTCGTTTCAAGAGTAAGAACTAAGCAAAAAAATAGCTAAAAACATGTAAGAACAGCAAGAAGACAACTCGCAGGGTGACGTCTGCTATTTGGAGAATATTTGCGGAGCTGGACAAACCTAAACGTACACTATCGAAGATGAACTTAACATCGATGGATCGATGGAGGTAAGCATGTTTTAGCTATGTTTTTAAACTAGGAATTCTTTTGAATGAATAATAAGACAGTTATTGAATTCCGCTTTCGTATCATATGAAGAATTATGGAAATCTCGGAGGGTGTTATCCGCCTCGGCTCCCCTACGGCCTCGACGGATAACACCCTCCTTGATCTCCATAAATCTTCATAAGATACTCAGCCTCATTCATTAACTGTTAAATATCCTGTGGAGCAATGCTGCATCACTCTGTTCCTAAAATTAACACATTTATCTCTTTTGAGTAAACAACCATATTTAGCTATAGTTCGTTTAAAGGGAGTGGTTCACGATAATGCGCATGCGCGCCGTTTGGCTCTTCAGAATAAATTTGTTGGGTCAACACTAAATTCGAAATCGCCATTACCGGTACAATCACTGAAAATCCTTCGTTTTATTCGGACATCCGTCGCTTTGGCTGGTCTAGTTATACTTCAGTAGTGGTGATTAACGTGTGGTTGTGTCGTTTGACTGGTTACGTTTTAAGAAGACGCAAAAAATAATGTTTTGATCATGGAGGTTCAGAAGAGCATCGTGGCCGTCCGGCAACAGGACGTTCTCAAGAGTCTTAGGAGAAAGAGAAGCTTAGCCTATCGATCTGGTATGGTTCTAGGAGTAGTGTGTGGCTTACGAAAAGAATACACGACACTTGGAAAGTGGTTAAAGGCATGAGTTCGTTCAACTTTGATTTGATTTTTGACTCCGACCTGTAGTTATACCGCAACAGGCCGCGTGATCTTCACCGATCTGGTACACTTGAAATGTTCCTTGTATCTTTGATTTACGATCGTATATGTTTAAGAATTGATGTTTTTAAAATGAATTATTGCCTGAATATTCTGTTTATAATATAGTTTCTTTCTGTGTGCTACTCGATAACATTTGTTTTGCGGAACACTGACCCGATGTAACGCGAATGAATTTGTTCATTTGCTGATAAGCATTTGAAATTTATGCTCAATTAAGGATAATCTTTATACTCATACGTTGTGTGTTTTTGTCACCGGTCAGGCGGTATTTGTAGGTATTTCAGGGTTTAAATAAGGCGAGCTGAGAGAACAGTAATAAGATGTTTGTTGACAAATTTTGTTTGCCGATCGGTGACTGCTTTGTTAGCGTGGGTACGACCTCGTAAAAAATACACGTTGGTAAATGTTTGTTTCAAAGCAGGACGGGGCTGTAAATCTTATTCTTATCGGCTGCAACATATAACTGAGGAGTAGCAAAGAATAAACTTGAATTATGGGGATAAATCAAATCAAACCAAATGCCCGGAAATACTCTAGCGTCGCGAACAATTAATTTGAATTTTGTAAATTTACTTGCGTGCATCTAACTCGCTTCCGATTGGTTGAAAAACAATCAGCTACTGTCAGAACTCACACATGCGCATTACCGTGAACCAGTCCCTTTAAGTTCTTTTATTATACTGAAGGTCTACAATTCATTGACTCTTGTAATGGTTATCACAAAAATGTCATAAAAACAGTTGTTGATAATAAAATGCGAAACCAACCTTCAACTAACAAGAAGAAGCCTTTAGGGTTCTTCTGAAGTATTTGAATGGCTTTCTCCGTCATTTCCGCAATGGACGGTTCACCGGCGTTGTCAGCAGCTCGCTCAACTTCGTACTTCATGTGAGAGTGTTCAAAAAGTCCTTGAAAATAGGGAACAGGACAGTTAGTTGAAGCTTTCGCTTAGAACTTCCTAATCACTTATTCCTTTCTCTCATTTCAAAAGAAGAAGGCGACGAATTCAATGAAAATAACTCTTCAGCGGAATCTTCCTATCTTTAGAAAGTTTAAAAGCCAAGCTAATTACAATAGAGTGTTTTCACATGACGTCACGGCGGCCATATTGGTGTCCCAAAACAATGAAACGGCGGTCATGTTGGTGTCCCAAACCAATCCCCTGGGAGTTGAACTCTTTTCTTATGCAAACGCTTTCTTTTGTTCCAATAAATTTGCATAGATGCTGGCCACGTGAGTGAAAACACTCTATAGCCAGCTTCGCAGTCAAAATTTAAGCACATACACATATGCCATAGATTGGTTATGATACCAATATGCAGGGTAGGTTATTTCTGCGTAGCAGACTAGATCCATAGGATCACATACACTCAAAATTAAAAAGATCTGGTCAGAATCTGATTCAGCCCCTCCTGGAGCCATTTGAGCAAAATTTAAGCCAAAATGGTCATTCTAAGAGGCTATCCAGCCCATGCTAGTACCCGTTTTCAGGTCTTGGGTCCGAATCAGACCTAGGGTAATTGGCATGGACTGTACTGGCCCTGATTTAAGGGAGCCGAATTAGTACAGTGGAACTTCCATTCAGGGGACACCCGCGGGACCAAGACAATCATTCCCTGAATAGGTGTCCCTTCAATAAAGGACAGGTAACAAATGCAAAGATTATGTGAATACAGGAGACTAGGTTGTTCCTAGAGTGTACCCAAAAGCTTGACCAGGCAAAAAGCAAGCCAAAACCTCACATCAAGATAAACAAGTTTTTAAACGCGACGATAATGGCCACACGATTTCTAGCTCGATTTCCCGCCCAGAAAAACGCGGGTTGCATAAATGCATCGCACGATTTCCCGCTAAGAAAATATAACGTAGTCCTGCCCCAGACGAGTTGACTCCAGACTCTCTTCCCTTTCCCACAGAGAATGTACGGGCGGGCGTACGTACGCTGACGTCACAACCAAAATTTATCGGATGTGTAAATTATCAAATTTGCTTAGCAATGGGGCTCCGCTCTTGCGCGCTTCGCTCGAGCGCGTGGAGCTCTGTTAATATCCAATAGGCCATTTGCACTAAGAGGCCATGTGACATCGTTTTTATGAAAATGAAAGTTATATGATTTTGCCTTCAAAAAACGATTAGTGGGTCATATCTTAAACAAAATAATGGTGATTTGGTTTTTTCAAACCCGCACCATTTTCTTAAAATGAATAAGTTCGTAAATGGTCACGTGACCAAAATATGATTTTTAAAATTATGAATTACCTCTCTCCGAACACAAATTTTGCACTTAAACTTCAAGGAAAATGTCGAAAAGATGATGTGATAACGTTTACAGCACATCTGAGCGTAACTATCAAACGTTGAACAAGATATAAGCAAAAAGTTGTTTTGGCCGCCATGTTGGAGGGCAAGAGTATGCCCTCCAACATGGCAGCCAATACAAATCATACTACTTTGTTGAAAAATCAAAGTGCCATAAAATATCTCCCTTAAACGCGTTTCCTCTCAGATTTTGGGTGTAAGATAATTTTTATGCGTTCTAATAATTTTTGGCATCAGCAAGATTCCAACTCATTGTTTAAAGGAAGCATTGGTCACGTGACTTCTTAGTGCAAGTGGCCTATTTGAATGAATTCTGAGGACAGCCAAACTGAATTGGAAGAGGCCGTAGGCCCAGATCAATTTGGTTGTCAGAGGAATTTCTTTTTAATCCAGTTATTATATAGCTGTTTTTTAGTCCAGATCTATTGGCATCTCATTAATTACACGCTTGAGCTCGTTTGTAGTTCGAACAAAAACACACGGCAGATTTCTAAAACAAGAGGCTTATTATGTGACAACTTCATTACCATTCGCAAGGAACAACGTGCTCTCTCACACTTAGGTATTTTAATTTCTCTTTTCACTGCATGTTTCTCAAACATAAGTTATGTTCTTCTGTTCTAAGTAGATTTTATTTACAGATGAAAAGCACTTTGATTTCTGTCATAAGAAGCAAGATCAAGCCTGCCTTACTACTCTCTAAAGGCCCGGTAACTGTGAGCATGTATATCTGTAGGTAAAGGATGGGGCACCAGATTGCTATTAGCACGTTGTGTATCCCTTGATTACTTCCTTCCCCCGCTTTATTTCTCATAAAATGTTTCGTACCTATCACGTGATCGACTTCCTCCACATTAATCTTCTCAAACTCAGTTTTGTTCCAGACGTATTTCGAATTCTGGTGTTTATTGACCCACTCTTGAATCAGGTCTCTGCCATCCAGTCTCTCTCCTTTTTTATCCGGGTATTCCGGATCTGTCTGATTCTTATGCATGAGTTTCCTGCGGCCGCCAGCGAATACAACCTCGATGCCATCTCCATAGGGATACTCAACAAGTTGTAAGGCTGTAATTTTAATTTAAAGTAAATTGCTAGCAATAGAATCAAAGCAGTCAATTCAAAATCAAATGAAAACAGTTAAATTAAATCAATTTCAATCAGTGCGAACATTCTGTACGAATCGCAGTTTTATACAAGTACCTGGCTTCAGGCTGGGAAAATAAAAAACACCATGAAATTATAACTGGCATGCGCACACTTTTGAATCGTTACCACTCTTACACAGTCCTCTACTCACTGGTGGTACTTGATGGCCTCATGTTTATCAGTTCATTTTGTAACAGTATACATAAAGCAGTAAAACGTTTAACGACAAATTTCTCCGTTTTGCTTGAAAAAAAAGAACACTCTTTGATCTAATATTGCCTAGTTTACTATAATTGAAATCAGACAGTGTCACTTACAAGTACAGACAGGAAAGGGGTTGACCTAGCTCGTACGCTGTTTCCCTTCAACGGGCTAGGCACGCGTACGGTAATAGTTAGAAAATGCCTCTATTTACAATGAACATGCATAAAGCGCATTATTAGAATTATTAATAAATCACATTTCAATGCTAATGCTCTCCCAAAGAATTCAATTCCTTTTTTACAATACAAGGAATTCCCAGGCCTACCGTCTACCGTATTGTCGAACAAACACTAAGAAGTTCTCGCCCTTTTTTTAAGGACCTACGTTGTTTGGTTCACTTGACGACGAGGTCTTCAACTCTCAATCTCTTTCCTCTTTTAGGAAAATACCAAAGATTAAATTATTAAGTAAATATGAAAAACGATCATAAATTTTTCCAACTTCGACTTTTCTCCACCTTTTCTCCAATTGATGTTAAACAGCTCTAGCCCGTAGTTCGAAGAGGCCTAACCTCTCATAAGCTCCTATAGTTTCTGTTAGGTCTCCTCGTCTCGCGCGCCAGAGGAGCACCATGGGTAAGTAAATCTACCCATCCCAGAAAATTTGGTAATCACGTGACCGTACACCGCCCGCCCGCCCAACCGTCCGCACCACAGGGAAACCAGTGTTTAATCCTCACACTTTCTAGCCAGTTTGGGAGCACAGGAAGACTGATATTGCACACATATATTGCACATCAATGTTGTGATCAATTGACAGCTGTCAAAACAGGGTATCCGCTGACCAGGATCACCTGACCGTATCGCGGGCTCAGGCGTCGACCCATCGAGGTTGATATCTTTTTGAAGTTATCCGCTGACAAGTAACTTGTTTTCAAATGATCGCAGGCTCAAGTTTATTTTTTTAAATTCATATGAAATATGTTGTGTTTTGTATGTGCCGCACAATTAAAATGATTTCGAACTGACCTAGGAAGCTAAAATTCAGCCAGTTTTTACAGGCAGGGAAGACATGCCAGTTGCTTTTGACTTTCCTCACCAAGGTCACGAGTTGGTCACGCTCTACGTCCAATTTTTATGCTCTGATTGGTCAAAATTTGACAGGTGAGTTCATGCGGAAAATTTATGCAGCATCTTGAAACTTGTTTACTTTGCTGAAGCTGACAGAGTTTTGTGTCAACTTGTGATGTTTTTAATTGTCTTTTTCCACTGAATGTACAAAATGAAATTCAGCTGCTATCAAGAGTCTTCTGTTATTCATGACTAGTTTGTTTACTGGTTTTTTGGTTGAGAAATACATCGCTTGTCAACGTCGGAAATCCGATTTCGGATGGCATCGTTTTCGTTTTTCACCTTGCTGGATGCGTAAGAGGGTTGAAAAGTCTGAAGCGATTCTGGCCTTACTTAAATAGTTTTCAGTGCATCTCGAATGGTAAGCCCGAGTAATTATTGTATTTGACGTTTGTTTTTTATATCTAATTTAATGAAGTCGAGCGTAGTTTATGCGGCTATTTAATTTATTCACGTTTTTAATTGTAAGATTTGAGACAATGATCTGACCGAGTATCAGGTTTGATTGTAAGCTTATAGAACTTTAAAAAGCCTTTAGACATTTTTTCACCGCAAATAGAAAGAAAACGTTCCAAACAATATTTAGTTATAATTCTGGCTGTAAAAGAAAGCTTCGGCTGAACGATGCTAAGACCGAGTTTCTTATTATAGGTACACGCGCACAGTTAAATAAGGTTACGATAAGTGACTTGCAAGTAGGTGGGGTAAAGGTTTCTGCTGTCTACTCTGTTAGAAATCTGGGTGCTTGGTTTGATGCAAACATGAATATGACCACACATATTAACAGCATATGTCAGGATATTTATTACCATCTACATAACATCCGGCGTATTAGAAAGTATTTATCATATGACAATAGGAAGTCCATTGTACAGGCTATTATAATGTCACGATTAGACTATTGTAACGGTCTATTATATGGTACGCCCGCTGTTCATCTTGGAAAGCTGCAACGCCTGCAGAACGCGGCAGCTCGGCTGGTATGTACTGTATCTAGGTATGATCCTATCACACCGTCCCCGAACAACCTGCACTGGCTTCCGGTTACCCACAGAATAGAATTCAAGATAGCAATGCTAGTTCACAAATGTATCTACGGCGTCTCACCACAATATGTTTTAGACTTGATAAAAATCAAAGAGAGCTCGCGGTATCAGTTGAGATCATACCGGGGCATACTCCTAATGGACAATACCTATAGAACAAAAAAGACACTCGAGGATAGGGCGTTTGAAAATGCTGCGCCCAAAGTATGGAACCGACTCCCTCTAGAAATTAGACAATGTCAATCATTGAAAATTTTTAAAGTTTTACTAAAGACACATCTTTTTAAATTAGCTTTTTATTAGTTCTTTTATTAACTCATATTTTACTTTTATTATTTTCCGAAAATTGTAAATTATTATTATTAATATCATTATTTGGATTAGCCATTTATTACTTTAAGATTTTACTGTTGTAATGCGCATTCGATCATATCTTTATCGCATGCTAGACTGCGGAATATAAGAAATAAACATTATTATTATTATTATTTTCTTGCCTCGAGTTCATCTTTGAAGAAGCAAACACCGGGAAGCCGGCTTACAAAATGAAAAACATAAACAAGGATTTTCAGAGACAAATTAATACTTGTCTTCGTAAATGAAAATTGTTGTCACTGTATATGTTTCACCGAATTATTTTCCTTTTATTGATTGTTAGTATTCTCTTTTGCAATTTTTATCGCTGTGCCGTTTGTTTTCAGTCGCTCATGAACATCGCTTGCATGCAGGAGTAGTCAAAATGCCGCGCGTATCAAACGCTTTTGACGATTAAACATCGTTATAAAACCATTAAATAAAAAATAAACATAATAAATTCTTTATTATGTTGAAGCGTATAACTCTATTAATTATAATTTAAACAGTCGACTTTGGCGCTTGTCAAAAGTGAGAACCTGCTAGCCGTATAGGTGATTTTGGAAATTTTTTTAACGGTTTCGCTAAAAAGCCCACACGTCCTTCGATCGTCCTGAATATTGAGTGAGTGCAATTTGTATTGCAAAACTGTGAAATACTGCATTCTGTCCGAGGTCTGTATGATAAAAACAGCGCCTCATGGTACTGTTTCACCTCAGATGTGATGTATAAAAAGTATAAAAGGTTAGGTTATACGTCCTTTTTTAAAGTAAACTTGTCGAACGCAAAAAATTCGGCCTGATTTGTTTTCCAAGAATTGTTTTCCAGGCCTAATCTACTGTGATCAAGAGCCCGCGCTCTTAAATGTGATCGAAGATGATTGTTATTTTTTGGGTGTACATATAAGGCTATCAACTCGATGTAAGATTAAGTTCACTCTTAGCTTGGACTGTTTGCAAATTACTTTTCTCTAAAATCACTTAACCCTTCCCTCAAAAGTCACACGAATGTGCTCTAAAGTTAACTGAATTGTGGGAAACAAGTTTATTGTTTGATTTAAATTATAAATTCGAGTTAATATATAGGAACTTCGCTTTTAGCCCTGGCTAAATCTAAATATTATTACTTGTAATTTCTATTATTGTGTGGCAAATAAAAAATAATAATAATAAAAGTAAAAAAATAAAACACTCCTACCTATGTCCTTGCACTTGGAACCATCATCCCCAACACTCTTATTAATATTGGCGTCACTTTCCCAGCCACGGTTTGCTGAGTGAGCATATGAACACGCGGGAGTTGCGTGTGTAACTCGCGTGGTGGTGACGATTCCCGTTGACATTCCAGCCTTCTCCGCAAGCGTGAGAATGGAGACAGCTTTGCTCTGTTCGGTCAATGAAGAGCAGTGAAATCGCGTAACTGTTGAATCTACAGCAATGACGCCTAAGGAAATATTTCAGAATATGGAGGAAATGAAAATTTTGGTGAGAATACGAAGATTTTAATTTTAGCCTCAAATTCTCGAACACTTGAAGTGTGATACTGCGTCAAGTGGCCATGATGGGTCTCTGGATTGCATTTAATATTGCTCACTACTTGTACCTGTTTCTTTTGAAGCAACTACGTCCTGCAATATCTGTTGCTACAATAAACGTAACATTCGCGCGGCGGTGTTGACCTTGTTCACAGCACTCGTGTGAATTAAGGAATGGGTCTCCTCAACTTAAAAATATCCAGCGTTTGGTCGCCAATATAAGTTTGAGGATCCCGGTTAAGTTTTAAACTTACCGTCGTTGGTTTTTATTCCTGTCAGGAATGCTGTCGCGGAGCTCGCAGAATCTGTTCCCTGTTGATCAACTGTGTACGTTTTAGCGAGAGCTGACCACGGAAACACTTCCCAGCTCAGAACATTCTCCTCTCCCGTGTTTCCCTTCTGTTGTCCGTCCAGGATTCGGGTCGCGGTGATGGTAGTGATACCCATTCCATCACCGAGGAACAAAATAGCGCTCTTAGCGGTGTTGGTGTTTGGTTTTAATTTTATGTTGTCCTCGACAAGCTTAACGCCAGCTTTATACCATTCGTTGTTGTTTTGATTCCGAAAAACGTCACCTTGGACACCTGAGAGATATTTAAGTTGATACCTTAATTCTTTACAGCCTGCGCACGTGCGCGTGGCAGACTTTTAAAGGGGAAGGGAGATAAAAAGGGAAAATTAAAACTTATTAATTGTTGTCTTGATTCCGAAAGATGTTCCCATTACAACAACAGCCACAGCAACGAACAACAAATTTTATTAAAAATTGGAAAATAACTAATTACATTACTTTCCCACCCGCAAATAGCTTATAAACTAATCGAGGCGGGGGGAGCTGATTCAGAAGACATATTACAAAACAAGATTTATATATAGATGGACTAAATAACAGTGAAGACACTACTATGCAGTAAATAGAATTTAAACTAACATAAAACAAGGCACGTACGTAACGATTACGAAGAGAGGCTAACCTAAAGTATTAAATAATTTAATAAGACGGGAGACTTCGACATAATCATCTTCTAACCGCAAGAAATTTAGTAATAATTCCTTTATTTTTTTACAAAAGGACGAACGGTTAAGTATTTTTATCGAATAAGGAATAGAGTTCCAAATTTGGGCACCGATTCTCGTGAAAAAGGCATACATTTTATAGGTTGTAGAGAACTTAACATAAAACGAGTCGCTAGAGACAGATCTTGTTCTGTAGTTATGAATCTGACTTGTTTTAACCAACTGATTGAGCATACTAACTGGTGCTGTCTGTCTGTTGATATCATACAATAAATAGCTACAATCTCTGAAAAATAGGCTAGGCAGGGGAAGGCAATTTGATTTGAGAAAGATTAGGGTTATTGACACCTGGGTAGATAAAACGGACACGAACACTGAAAAGTTGTTACCTGAATTCTTCGGCATCCTTTTAGCTCTCATTGTGTGCCAAACCGAAAATTTATAATCCAGATTTCTTATTTTCAATCATGTAATTTTACTTATCACAAACAAGCGGTAAAGTACTTCAAAATTATAAAGAACTGCCCAAGATATTTTCCGTAAATGATCAAACGTACGGCGCTACCATCCCACTCGGTCTTGTCTTTGGTCTTGTGCTATGGTTTCCCAACCCAGTGACCTTTTTCCTTAAAAATAAGTAAATATGCCATTTCCTCGTTAACGCACAAAAATTACGATGAGACCGAACGGAGTGACGGTGCGTTTTAAACTATCAGTCAATAAAGAAATTTCAAGTCACGTATTTTACGGCAAACGGTAAACGGCAAACGTAAATTTGTACTTTGTGACCAAGTTTCTACCCCCAAACTAGTTTTTACACGTTCGCTTTGCCTATAAAAATTATCGGACTGTTTTTAGCTGGACGTTTTTTGTTTTAAGAAATTCTAAACTTGAATCCGAAGTTTGTCGTAAACGTCACCGTAAATCTCTATAATCAGTCAACCAGTCATGATTGAGTATGATTTGGAAGCCCAAGAAATTGACTTTGAAATGGAAGGCGCAATATTTCAAGGAAGCTTAATGACTCCACTCTAACAAGACGCTCCTTTCGCATTGCATCTGATATCGACGGTTTCAGAAGGGCGAAAACTGATATTGTAGCTCGAAGACCACTTAACAAAGTATATTGCTTTCTCAGAGATTTTGTTTTCTAACCTTATAATAATAATAATAATAATAATAATAATAAATATGAAACTTATATTGCGCATATTCAATAGAAATACTTTCATTATGCGCATTACAAACGATAAGTTAAAATAAGTCGATTAAAAATCTATCTTAAAAAAGTACTTTTTGAGAGTTGTTTTAAAAGGCCTAAGTCTCTGAATGTTGATCTCCGGAAGACTGTTCCACAGTTTCGGAGCCGCCGACTGAAATGGTTGGGTCACAAGTGCAGGTAGACACTGCGTTGGCTGGTACCAACTACATATGATCAAAGACTTAATAAGCCTTAAATGATATTATCTTTACATTAGTTGTCAGTTACTGAGCAATTCTTTAGGGTGCGTTCGATTGATCGTATTCTGGAATCAGGGAACTCGCAAATGTCTTGTTGCAAATCTTTTCAACCGTGCTTTTTGGCCAAGTAAACGCTACAGTTATCGGGATATCTTATTTCAAGCAGATTTCTGGTTCTTGCAAAGCAATGAACGCCAAAATTAAGGATTTCAAGAGTCATTTCGGAATACGATGTAATCGTACACGCCCTTGACAAGTCGTCCTCGCATATATATACAGTCTCTCACCTGCTATCCCTGATAAAACCATAAAAACTACTGTAAGAAACACGATTAGAAACCTTACTGTTACGGAACATTTCATAACGAATCTCCTGGTGAAGGCACAATTCGATCGCTTGCTGATTTGACGTTTACGATTATATGCAGTTGCCCACTTTTCCAACAATCATTAATTATAAATGCAAAGCCTTTTTGCATAGTTGTGACAATATAATGCGTGCATATGCTCTATTTAAACAATTATTCTTTGAAATCGAGGTGAATTTAATGGCGGAACTACTAGAGCCACTATTAACCAAAATCAGAGGAGGTGAATATTGTTGAATAGTCCGAGATAGCGGACCAATCAGATTGCTTAATTCACCAAGATCATTGAGTGTGTATACTTAGTAGAATTATAGTAAGTTGTAGTGAGATATTAAAAATAGAATGTGAGTGCTTCAAATAGATAGCCTAGCAGTTATCAATCGCTCAATTACGACCTCATGAAAATTGAGAAGTATCAGAACTGTCAATTACAGACGTTCAGAAATTTTCGTGAATTATTTTTTGTTAAATAATTCGTTTTTTCTCCATTTGCCGCAAACGATGGTTGAGAAATATTTGCATCGATGACCCAGATCAGAGGTATAAGCCTCATTCGAGTGCCGTCCGCCAATCCGAACGAAGCTTGTTCACGTGCGGTTTAATAGCACTTAAAATGTCCAGTGGAATTCTGATGTGTCATCATACTTCCGTATTAGTTAAAGCATTTCAGGGGACTTAATAAATGCCATGATCGGAGATCTAACCTAAGTTACCGTGACTGGCATGTACCCGAAATTATTTGGTGACAACGCTTTTGCCTTACGCTCGCTTAACTCTTCGTCGTTGATTTCCGCTGAATTATGTCGCCTTTAAATGAAACAACTACACAATTTCAAAATCACCTTTTGTATTGGCCTCGGAGACTCCAGCCAATATGAACGCCTCACGGGGATATTATTAAGTCAGAAGGCTATTTTAAATTGAGAAAGGTGTAGTAATGTTTTGTTCGTCAATCATGCTAGAGGAGACTGGTTATGATAACTGGCGAAAGATCGAAAATGAAAAAAAAAAAATCAAAAACAAAAACAAACAAAAAATCAGGTCTTGCAGGGTGAAGTCTAAAAAAGCTAGCAAAAACAGTAACAAGGAGTTTGACGGGCTTCATTACCGTTGCACTTTATTTATAACATTTGCATGCTTCTGAGAATAATCAATGACGAGGCACTCTCTAACCTAGGCAAAGTGATTACAAGTTCAAGCAAGAGATAAACACATAAAGATGACGTAGTGTATTAAACCGGTTGTTAACGTTGTTTACTTTTAACGGAAGTACTGATACATATAACACATTCCACAATACCCTGCCTGCTCTGTTGTTGGCGTTGTGATGCCTTGAGAAGCGTGTTGATTGTGTTTGGCTTCTGTTGAAATCCTGTAGCATCGCAGCGATTAAGCATTAAAATGCGGCAAGAGAATGGGATGACAGACGACACCCTCGTAAACGTTTTAAGCGAGATTTGCATTTGTTTGAAGAGATTGCGTGATGCGATACCTGAGGGATCGAATGAGAGGGAAGGTTCGGCTAGTGCTGTCCCTAACAGTAGAATTTCGACACCAGTGGCTGTAGAGGTCGGTGGTTTGCAGCTTTTCTAGTACAAGGCGATCCACAATCCTTTTCACAACGTTGGCCAAAATGAAACAGAGCTTTCGAGTTATACGTTCTGAGAAAAGAGATCACGAGTAACTCGCTGAAACGGCTGCTTTTACAACGACATTTAGTCCATCAGCTAGGGGGGGCGGGGGGGTTGTATGGTCACTTAAGGGGAACAAAACATGTATAATCTAAATCTTTGAGTAAAAAGCATCACAAAAATGCACGATAGCGAGGATAGAAAGGTAGCTTAACTTTGTAAATCGAATTTTAAATTTGCCACTTAAACCCTTATTTTGGTCGCCATCTTGGATTTATAAACATTAACCTTTGACTCCCTCTTAATTTAAACACACGATTTTTTTAAAGAAGATTTGAACTACTAGGTATCTGAGATATTATTTTAGCATTTTTAAATGTTAGTCAAGATATGATGACGTCATACATGACGTCACAGTGACCGCCATTTTGCTTTTAAAATTAGCCTTTTCAACCGATATCTCAATCATCTAAATAAGAAGATTGCTATTAACATTAATTAAACATTGGAAGTTTTTCTTTCACATTACAAACCAGTTTTGTGCTGAAAAAACCGCATTTTTCACCAATTCCTCTTCTTTGGACTGGTTTTCGACTAATTAGCATGGCTAAAAGAATGGCTAAAAATGAATTTTTCATCAAAAAAGGCATATTTACCGACTAATCGCTTAATCAGAAACAGCTTTTTTTGTTTTTCACGCATGCGCACAAGCAACAATTTTGACTTCATTGGCGAATGTATTTCGATCTTTCTCCATCGCTCTCTTTTTTTCTTTGCCTCTCTTCCATATTAGCAATTTTCCCCCACTTTATCGTCTTTTTTTGTATAGAATTGTGGCTAGCCAAATTTTTAGGAAGGCACCTATCACCAATGAGAAAATCTGTGACTCACGTATTAACTCTAGCAACTTCGACTGCATTTCTCTTCCGAACATCAAGCAGAATGGTGCACGTGTTACACCCTTTGTAATTCAATGGGTTGACCTGTTTGCAGTTAAAACTGTGTGGAGCTCTTGCCACCAATCTCTTTTTTTTCTCTAATTTGGGCTATCTGGATCGTTTTCAACAAAGTGCACTTTTGACGTTCTATCTCCCCCTTCACCTGTTGCCACAATGGGGGAGTTGTTCAGCGTTATATCCCGCTTTCCACAAGGAGGATTTAAACTCCT